GACTGGGTAGCTTTTGGGGAGATTCTACCCCCAAACCAAGAGAAGGCCATTGCTAGCCCCCTGAAATCCTAGACAGAGACACTTACCTCCAGGTTGGCTACTCTCCCTGAGAAACCACTTACAAGGCCAATGTGGCAAAGGCTGGCATGGCAAATGACTTTGAGAAGTTTAATGCCCTGAAGGTTCCTGTACCAGAGAATAAATACAGGTGGATGTTCAGGTGGATGCTGAAGAAAAAGCAGAAAAGTTGTGCTGAGTTTTTGTCTCTCTCAAAGGCCAGGATTGAGGAGTACGAAAAAGAGCTGGAGAAGATGAAGAACATTTGATCCATTTGATCAGATGACCATCGAGGACATGAATGAATGAAGTCTTCCCAGAAACCAGATTAGACAAGAAGAGGTATCCCTAGTGGCCTCCCAAGCCAATTGAAAATTTAGAAACTTGAGGCAGGTAGACAGCTCTCGCCCTCATATTATAAATGCTGGACATTAAAAATTTTTTAAAAAGAAGAAGAAAACAGAGGGAGTAACTTTCATACCACTGGATTTGGAATGAGTTCTTCAATATGACACCAAAAGTCCAGGCAACAAAAGAAACAGATAAATTGGACTTCATGAATGTAAAATAAGGCTTAGTTGAATCTCTATTATGTGCATATTGATTATTCCTATTTTGGATTACCTATTAATTCTGGAACAGCTTTCTCGAAACTATTCCATTGCCACACATCCTATCTCCCCATTTCTAGAGTTCCTTTCTCTATTCCCTTTATCCATCTCACAAAGCCTTTCGTATATCATTTCTCAAAGGGTTGTGATTTCTTTTTCTAATGTTAGGCAAGAATGTGGATGAATTACCTTGCATTTTAAATTATGTATACCATGCTTTTTTCTGTTAGCAAAAATCATGGGGAATTTTCACTATATCTCCCACTCTTGGTATCTTAAAAGGGTTTTTTCTTACCATTCTATACATAGGCAATTGCTGTGAAGTCACGGGATAGCCCACTGGAGGCAATACCTTAAAGAAAAATGTCAGTTACTATACGGTACAGTTTCTACTAGTATTTATTAAGAAATGTTATACAGAAAAAAATTCTGCTACATATTTAATTTTGAGAACAAATATATGGAACCATTTCTAGCCAGGACAATGATCTTTCCTTGAACAGGACAAATTTAGGACTAGATAGACATAAAAACCAATGCAATAGAAGAAAGAGCACAGAAAAAACCCTTACATATCTAGTCAATTGATTTCTGACATGGGTACCAAGACCATTCAATCGGGAAAGGACAGTCTTTGACCGATGATGCAGGGACAACTGGATAGTCACATGCAAAACAATGAAGTTGAAACTTTACCTTACAATATATACAAAATTAACTCAAAATTGATCAAAGACCTAAACCTAAGAAAGAAAACCATAAGGATCTTACAAGAAAACATAGGAAGTAACTTTCATACCATTGGATTTGGCAATGAATTCTTCAAAATGATACCAAAAGTCCAGGCAACAAAAGAAAAAAGTAGATTAAATTAAATTAAATTGAATTTCATGAAAACTCTAAAAATTTTATGTATTTAAGGACACTACCAAGGGAGTAAAAACACAACCCACAGAATGGGGGAAAATATTTCCTAATTAATATCCAACATGTATAAGAACACCTGCAACTTAACAACAGAACAAATAACCACATTCAAAAATGGCCAAAGGTATTGAATAGACATTTCTCCAAAGAAAGGACACAAAAGGCAAAAAAAAATCACATGAAAAGATGTTGAACATCACTAAGCATTAGGGAAATGAAATGAAATGAAAATCACAAGAGATACTAATTCACACCCATTAGCCCTTTAGCCACTGGAGTAAATGCTATAAAAATTCCTAAAAGAATTAACCATAGAATTATATATGATCCAGCAATTCTACCTCCAGGTATATATCTGAAGAATTGAAAGCAGAAACTCAAACAGATACTTGTACACCAATGTTCATAGCAGCATTATTCATAATAACCAAAAGATGGAAGCCACCTAAATGTCTCATCAATGGATTAACAAAGGAAAATTATTTAGCCTTAAAAAGGAATGGATGAATCTTGAAGACATTATACTAAGTGAAATAAGCCAGACACAAGAGGACAAATAATGACTGCACTTTATCCTTTTTCCCTTCCATTACCCTCCACATTGGACTGAAAACAGCCAGAAACCTAGAGAGATCACTATCGTACAGATGAGAGAGAACTCCAGAAGTCTACCTCTGGCCTGAATAGCTCTAAAGAGAAAGTCAGAAAGTCTCCCAGTGTTTTTCCTTTTTCTCTCCTCTCTCACACCCCAGCTCCCAGGCACTCCTGACACAGTCCTATCTCGCTATCTTGGCAACAGAAGTGGCCTGCAGACAAGAGCCCAGTATTCCAAGGAGAGAAATTTTCTTCTCCATTAGGTGGAGCTCTGGCTCCATGAGGGGAGGGACGAGATTTTTTTCAAATTCTCTGTTTAACACCACTTGGAGCACTGAGTTGTCTCAGTCACAAGGAAGCTGTGAACCTCTGTGTTCATGGTCCCCCTCCCACCACCTGTGCCCAAGTAGATTTGATCTTTTTTAATTAAGTTTTTATTTAAATTGCAGCTAGTGAACATACAGTGTGATTAGTTTCAGGTGTACAATTCAGTGATTCAACACTTCTGTAGGACACCTGGTGCTCACGACAAGTACCCTCTTTCATTCCCATCGTTTCCCCTATTCCCCCATCCCCTCCCCTCTGGTGACCATCAGTGTCTTCTCTATAGTTAAGAGTCTGCGTTTATTAACCAATCCGCTTGTTGGTTGTTGACATACTACCTAATATACATCATACTAATGTAATCAATATTTATGAATATTATGGAAACTTGCTATAAAGCCTTTTTACATTGGAGAAGAAAAGAACCTGTTTCTTGGTTTGCCTCCCTCTCTTTTCTTCCTTTTGCTTAATTTGTTTTGTTTCTAAAAGTCCATATATGCGTGAAATTATATGGTATTTGTCTTTCTCTGACTGACTGATTTCACTGAACCATTCTTTTTACAGCTGAATAATATTCCACTATAAATATATACACATCTTAATCTATTCATAAATCTATTTATCTATCGATAGACTCTTGGGCTGTTTCCATACTGTCAACAATGCTGCTGTCAACAATACTGTGGTAAACACAGGGGTGCATGTATCTCTTTGCATAAGGGTTTTTGTAGTCTTTGGGTAAATGCTTGGTACTGCGATTACTGGATCCTATGCTAGTTTCTGTTTTGAACTTTTGAGGAGCTCTGTACTGTTTTCCAGAGCGGCTGCACCAGCTTGCATCCCCACCAACAGTGCAGGAGGGTGCCCCTTTCTCCGCATCCTCGCCAGCATCTGTCGTTTCCTGTGTCATTGATTTTAGCCATTCTAACAGCTGTGAGGGGATAGCTCATTGTGGGTTTGATTTGCATTTCCCCAATGATGAACGATGTTGAGTGTCTTTTCATGTGTTTGTTAGCCATCTGGATGTCTTCTTTGACCTGAGTCAAAGGCAAATGCTTAACCAGCTGAGCCACCCAGGAGCCCATCTGTATGGCTTCTTGGATAAATGTCTGTTCATGTCTTCTGGCCATTTTTAAACTGTATTAATCATTTTTTGGGTGTTGAGTTTGGTAAGTTCTTTATAGATTTTGGATACTAACCCTTTATTGGATGTGTCATTTGCAAATGTCTTCTCCCATTCCATAGATTACCTTTTAGTTTTGTTGATTCTTTCCTTTGCTGGGCAGAACCTTTTTATTTTAATGTAGTCTCAATAATTTACTTTTGCTTTTATTTCCCTTGCCTCAGGAGGTGGAGGTCAAAAGAAAGCCAGGGTAACAATACTTACATCATACCAAATCAACTTTAAAACAAAGACTGCAGGGACGCCTGGGTGGCTTAGTCAGTTAAACGTCTGCCTTTGGCTCAGGTCATGATCCCAAGGTGCTGGGATTGCGCCCCGCATCAGACCCCTGCTCAGCGGGGAGTCTGCTTCTCCATCTCCCTCTGACCATACCCCCTGCTCGCTCGCTCTCTCAAACAAGTAAATAAAATCTTTTTAAAAAAATAAAAAATAGGAATGTTTGTGTGGCTCAGTTGTTTAAGCATCTTCCTTCAGCTCAGGTCATGATCCCAGGGTCCTCCAATAAAGTCCTCTATCAGGACTTGCTCAGCAGGGAGTCTGCTTCTCCTTTCTGCCTGCCACTCCCCCTACTTGTGCTCTCTTTCTGACAAATAAATAAAATCTTTTTAAAAATAAAAATAAAGACTGTAACAAAAGACAAAGAAGGACACTATATAATCATAAAGGGGATGATCCATCAAGAAGATATTTACAATTGTAAATATTTATGCACCCAACATGGGAGCACCCACAAATACATAGAAGTTAATAACATACATAGAGGAATTAATCAATAATAATACAAATAATAGTAGAGAACTTTGACATCGCACTTATATCAATGGACAGATAGATCATCCAAACAAAAAATCAAGAAAACAGTGGCTTTGAATGACACACTGGAACTGATGGATTTAATAGATACATGGAGAACATTCCATCCTAAAACAGCAGAACACACATTCTTTTCAAGTGCACATGGAACATTCTCCAAAATAGATGAAATATTAGACCACAAAACAGGTCTCAACCAAACAGGTCTCTTTAAACAAATTTAAAAAGATAGAAAGTGTATCATGCATCTTTTCTGACCACAGCATTATGAAACTAGAAATCGACCACAGGAAAAAACATGGAAAGCCCACAAATACATGGAAGTTAAATAACATGCTACTAAACAATGAATAGGTCAAAGAAATCAAAGAATAAATAAAAAATTACATGGAAACAAATGAAAATGAAAACACAATGGTAGATCTGATCTTGATGAACATCCCGAAGAATGATTACAGGGGAGAGGTCAACAGCCAGGTCCCAGGAGACCGTCAGGTGGTGTCGGGTGGTGCGCGTGCAGGACAGGGCCGAGCAGCAGCACAAAGGCTGCAGACACTGAGCTGACGCTGGCTGGAACCACAGGCCAGAGGAGGAGGCAGGACGTGCAGCTTAACCCTAAGCGGGTCACGTGCCTGCTGAAACACAAACACCCACATTCCCCGTAAAATTTAACAAGGCCCAGAGACAAAGTCATAGTCAGGAATGTCCGGGATGCAATCCACAATTATTTGGCACATGAAGAAGACCGTGAAAATCTCAACATGCACAAGAAAAGACAATCAGCAGACACCCATCACAAGACGGTGCAGATGCTGGAATTACCTGACAAAGTTAAAGCGATCATTACAAAAATGCTCAGTACGTCACCGCGAACACTCTTGAAACAAAAGTTAAAAGAGAGGGCGCCTGGGTGGCTCAGTGGGTTAAAGCCTCTGCCTTCGGCTCAGGTCATGGTCCCAGGGTCCTGGGATCGAGGCCTGCATCGGGCTCTCTGCTCAGCAGGGAGCCTGCTTCCTCCTCTCTCTCTGCCTGCCTCTCTGCCTACTTGTGATCTCTCTCTGTGTCAAATAAATAAATAAAATTTTTTTAAAAAGTTAAAAGAGAAAACGTCAGCAAAGAAATAGAAGATACGGGAAAAGACATTTGTCTTGGAAGCTTAGAACTAAAAAATGCAATAACTGAAATAAAAATACCCAATTGAAGGACCCAATATCGCAATGCAGATGACAGAGGAAAGATTCACTGAACTTGAAGACAGACCAATAGAATTATTTACTATGGAGAACAGAAAAAAAGATTTAAAAGAAACAAAAAGAGCCTCAAGAACCAGCAGGACAACAATCTAAAGGTCTAATATTTGTGTTATTAGAGTCACAGAAGGAAAAGAGAATGACTATAGTGCTGAAAAAAACATTTGAATCATTAAGGGCAGAAAACTTCCCAAGTTTGGCAAAGGATATATAAATGCAGATTCAAGAAGCTGTACAAACTTGAGCAGAATACTCTCTAAGTGCATGCCATCATATTCAAACTTCTGAAAATGAAAGACAGAAAAATATCTTGAAAGCAGCCACGGAAAAACTGCAATATCTATAGGGAAACAAATGATTCATATGACTGGATTTTTCACCAGAACCCATAAGCCAGAATAAGGTGGCCCATTTTTCAAATGCTGAAAGAAAAGAACTATTACTCCAGAATTCTGTATCCAGTAAAAATTGCTTTAGGATTAAAGGTGAAATGGAGCCATTCTCAAATGAAGGAACGATAAGAGAATTCATAGCCAGAATTGCCAGAATCGCTAATGGATATTCTTTATTAGAAGGGAAATTATACTAGAAGGAGATTTATATCAGAAATGAAGGAAGAGCAACAGAAATGGTAAATATCTCAGGAGATGTAATAGGGCAAAAAGTATAAGACTGTCTGATGGGTCTTTTCCATATAACATATGTATAGACAACTATAACATAAAAAGAGGAAGGTAAGGGGACCTATATGGTTCTAATGGTTTTACACTCCAATTGAAATGGTAAAATGTTTATTCTAAATGGACTGTGAAAAGTATGTATTTTGTACCTGCTAGAGCAAACACAAAAAACCATACAGAGAGTTGGAGTCCAAATTACAACATATAACTTAAAATGAAATATTCCAAAATCTATTCAAAGGACCCAAAAGAAGGCAAGAAAGAAGAAACAGAGGAACAACAATGACAATGAACAGAGGGAGCAAACAGGAAATAACAAAATGGTAGCCCTTAAAATAAGCACATCAGGACCCAAATGACATTTATGGAATCTTCCACCCAACAGCAGCAGAATACATGTCACCAAGATAGACCTTACTCTGGGTTATAAATCAAAATGTAACAAATTTAAAAGAATTTAAAATATACAACATACTTCCTCTGACCATAAAAGAATTTAGAAATCAATTATAAGCTCAAATCAAGCAAAAAGAGGGAAATAACAAAGATAAAAGCAGAAATCAATACAATTAAAAACAGAAAACCAATAGAGAAAATTCAAGAAAGCCAAAAGTTGGTTCTTTGATAATGATCAACAAGATTGATAACTCTGTAGCAAGACTACCAGAAACAGAAGACAAATCACCAATATCAAGAATGAAAGAATGGAAATGACCAGATCCTGTAGCCATTTAAAGGAAAATAATAAAAGAATAATATTATTAGCTTTTTAAAAAAGATTTTATTTATTTATTTGACAGAGATCACAAGTAGGCAGAGCAGCAGGCAGAGAGAGGGGGGGAAGTAGGCTCCCCGCTGAGCAGAGAGCCCGATGGCGGGGCTCGATCCCAGGACCCTGAGATCATGACCTGAGCCAAAGGCAGAGGCTTTAACCCACTGAGCCACCCAGATACCCCTATTATTAGCTTTCTAAACATAAATTTGACTCCAACTGTTAGGCTTTTTCTACCCTTCTTCCTATTAATTCCAAACCCAAAATTTCTTTGCTGTAACCTCTCTAGGTTCTTAGTCACCTGTGTCCACTATGAAGCCACACAGACACAACTTTCCTCAGTACATTTTGAAATTACTTATTCCTGTTTCCCAAATCCTCTCAAAGTTCTCATTCCTAGAACGTACCTCAGCTGCATATTAGGAAAACAAAGTCACTGTATACTCAATAGTTAATATGCAGTTTGTTATATCGTTGGGCCAGTGAAGTTTTAGTATATGTGCTGCCAATGAAGTATAATCATATAAATCATATAAAATCATATAAATCATATAAAAATAGCACAGGTCCACATCCTTAAACCTTTGGGGCCAAATGTATTTTGGAATTCAAAATGTTTTGTATTTTGGAAAAATAATTTAGAAATTACACAAAGAATATATTAGGAACACCCTGGGGGAGTAGAATAGCACCCTGATAATAAAAAAAAAAAAATAACCCTTGTTCTCTAGAGCTTTCTGAATTTTAAAATTGCAGATCATTTATTGAGGACCCATATTTCAACTTTCAACCCATTAGCAACTCCTGTCAGTTCTCTCTCTCTCAAGTCTCTTTCTTTTGATCTACTGCCACCATTCTAGCATTCTAGGTAATAATACATAATAAATGTTACCATGCGGGGAACAGGAGGAATAGAAATGTGTTTCCAGAGGGTTGATGTGCAGGCGTAGGTATTCAACTGCCATTTCATTCCACCAGCAATTTCCATCTCTGAGGGCTGGGGCCACTCCATGTCCAGTCTAAGAGGGGATTTATAAATCAGCCCATTTTGGAGCATGGCAATCTACCATTTAAACATAAAGTCAGGGTGCAGCCCTGGAGACAATGATCATGTTTCTCAACAGGTAGGAGATAATAGGAAGGAATCACAAAGCAATGCCAAAAAAGACCATTGGCTGTTTTTGTATATGAAATTAAGTTGTCATTACAGAACTAAAAGTTTCTACAGGGTTTTATTAGATAATGCCAAACTTAAAGCTTGAGAGTTGATAGAAAGAATTCATAAATAAAGTGATTGAGTGGATACATTTTTTTTCTAAACTATCTTAATAGTGTATCTGGAGAAAAAACTGGTATTATGTTCTGAGCCCCAGGAGGCTATCCACCAGCTGTGTAACCTTGATTGAGTAACTTCTTTCCTTATTTGTAAAATGGGGATTAACAATGTTTTACCTATCTGCTTTATAGAATTAAAGTTATTAGGAGAATAAATAAAGCTAGATAGAAAATATATCATAAAAATATGAGAATAAATAGACTAGAGGGTATCATGCTTAGCGAAATAAGTCAATCGGAGAAAGACAACTATTATATGATCTCCCTGATATGAGGAAGTGGAGATGCAACATGGGGGGTTAAGCGGGTAGGAGAAGAATAAATGAAACAAGATGGGATTGGGAGGGAGACAAACCATAAGTGACTCTTAATCTCACAAAACAAACTGAGGGTTGCTGGGGGGAGGGGGATGGGAGAAGAGGGATGGGGTTCTGGACATTGGGGAGGGCATGTGCTATGGTGAGTGCTGTGAAGTGTGTAAACCTGGCGATTCACAGACCTGTACCCCTGGGGATAAAAATATATTATATGTTTATAAAAAATTTAAAAAATTAAATTAATAAAAGAGAATAAATAGAAAAGGAAGAAACTCTTATGGTTTTTGTGTGTAAAAGCTCCTATTTATTCCATATTTGTCATTTGACTTAGATAAATTTAAGTTTTATCTACATGATACACAGTTTAAAAAGTCTTAATGCTAAAAGATCCAAAACAAAAACATCAGTCCACATTTCCCCTTCCCAAAGGTAGCCACTCTTTTCTTGATGGCATTTAATTCCATAATTCTATAAAAAATGACTATACTACTGCATATTAATTTATAAGTTTTAGACATTATTTTCTTTGGAAGATTTATCACTCATACCATATCGTATTTCTCCTCCTACCTTATCACATCTGCGTCTTTAAAATCTAGTGTGTGTGTGTGTGTGTGTGTGTGTGTGTGTGTGTGTGTAATATATACACCTTATGTATGTGTATATAAAACCACTATGGAGGTTAATAGCCCTGACTCTAGAGCAAGACTGCCTAGGTTCAAATCCCACTTCAGCCCCTTAATAACTGTATAAGGTTGAGCAAGTTCCAGAATCTCCGTATCTCAGTTCTCTCACATGTGAAATGTGGATTCATTGCATTCATTCAACAAATATCCATTAAATATCTGCTAGGTGCCAGGCACGATTCTTGGTGCTTAAAATATATAAAACAGATGAAAGTATCTGCCTTCATGGAGCTTGTGATCTAATGGGAATAATAACCATCTCAGGTTGGAGGATTTTTTCCTGGAGAATCTCTCTGGAATTCTCTACCCTTCAGCTCTGATCTCTAGGCCGGTTGCTGTATCGGGAATTCTCTCTACCTTGCGCTTCTGTAGGGTTGGGGTTAGGGTTAGGGTTAGAGGGTTAGAAGCACAAGGTAGAGCTTCTTTTCCCTGAATCCCATGTACTTCTCTCTCTTACTTTACTTCTCTCTTTCCTTAGAGCATACACTGTAGGAGCTTCCTGAGCAAAGGTGCATGGTACATAATGTTTTTAGATTTTTTTAATCTGCTTATTCAGAGGAGCTTCTTTTATTGGCCTTTACAGAGAAATCAGTTTTGCATTTATTTGTTTTTGTCTGCAATTTTATCGATTTGAGCTTTTATCTTTATAAATTTTATCAAATTTATTTTTTATGATTTTCTATAGATTTCTTAAGATAAAAACTAAATTCTTACTGATTTCTCTTTTCTAAGAGTGATGAAACTTTCCTCTGTGTTTAGCTTTCAATAGTTATCAAACTATGGATTTCCTCTTTGGCGAAAGGATTATATTTTTAAACTTACAAATAGTTAAGATTTTCATGCTCAACTTTTTATTAACAAGTTCCAATTTCATTAGATTATGACAGAATTTAATTTCATTAGATTATGACAGTAGCCTGTAAAATTCTTCAGTTTTTTTGTCAAGTTTTTCTTTGTGATTGCTTTGAAGAAAATAAGCAGTGCACACTCGGGTTTATTAAGTATTATGCATTATTCAAATTTGAAATCACCCATTATAATTGGATTTTTCTCAAGTTCTCCATGTATTTCTAATAATTTTTACCTTATATATTTAAATTTGTGTATACACAAAATAGCACCTCCATAATCAGTTTCTTTTATCTTTGTATGATATCCTTCCTTATTCTGCTTAGTGAATTTAAACTTACATTCCACAGTGTTTGTTGTTAATATTATCACTTCTGCCTTCCTTTGTTTTCCATTGGCCTGCTTTTTGGAGGTTTTTTTGGCTGAAAATATAGGGATTCACACACTGAAGTAACATTGATTATGTTAAAATGCTGAGGAGCTCCAACTGGTGGTTTTATTGTCTTTGTTTAATAAAATAAAAAATAAGTATTATTCATTTAATACACTCTATATAATAAAGTAAGAAAAGAACCAAAAGTACAAAACTTTGAGAAATGCCAATATTTAAGACATGCTTAGAAAAAGAAGATCCTTCAGATGAACCATGAAGGGATTGTCAGAGGGGTAAGAGGAGAACCATGCAGTACATAATACATTATACTTTAACCAAGAACTTAACCTACAAAAATTGGGATAGTATATAAAGAGTAAATTCTCTACTTTAATATTTGAAGGAAAAAAATCACATAGAGTTTTGTAACAAATGATTCTTGTATCGAATTTTAAAGTAATTATTTTCTGGTTATTCTCATGAGTCTCTTCCTCTAACATGTATATATTATTGTCTATCCTTTTTAAAATAAGAAAAACTTACCTGTTGACTGGGCTTTCTCCAAGGTTAAGATCTGTTTCATAAAAAAAAGCAAATTTTACATTATTTATGTATACTTTTTCTTAAAATGCATTTATATATATATTATCTAAAATATTAATTTAAAAATAGATGTTTACTTCCTACAAGATTAGCAAGTGAGCCATCCAGACTTTTTGCTATGATTTTTCCATGTTGCTGTCTGGCTTCAACAGATTTGTGGGCTTGTGAAGGTAATGTTGGTTATAATATATCAGATAGGGAAGATAATCTGAAAATAAGGGACAAAATTAGATAAAAAACTAAACCAAATTTATACCAATAATGATATATATGTACCTCCCATTACAAACTAACAGCACATCAAGTTCTTAGGTTAATGAGTATAAAGTCACATAAAGTTGTTCATTAAATACATTTTTTAAATTTTTTTTCAGCATAACAGTATTCATTGTTTTTGCACCACACCCAGTGCTCCATGCAATCCGTGCCCTCTCCAATATCCACCACCTGGTTCCCCCAACCTCCCACCCCCTGCCCCTTCAGATTGTTTTTCAGAGTCCATAGTCTCTCATGGTTCTCCGCCTCTTCCGATTTCCCTCAACTCCCTTCTCCTCTCCATCTCCCCTTGTCCTCCATGCTATTTGTTATGCTCCACAAATAAGTGAAACCATATGATAATTGACTCTCTCTGCTTGACTTATTTCACCCAGCATAATCCCTTCCAGTCCCGTCCATGTTGCTACAAAAGTTGGGTATTCATCCTCTCTGATGGAGGCATCATACTCCATAGTGTATATGGACCACACCTTCCTTATCCATTTGTCCGTTGAAGGGCATCTTGGTTCTTTCCACAGTTTGGCGACCATGGCCATTGCTGCTATAAACACTGGGGTACAGATGACCCTTCTTTTATTTTAATTGAGCACTTGTTAGACACAATACTAGATACTAAAGATACAGCAGTGAAGAAAAAAAACATAACAATCTCTGCCTTCGTGTAGCTTACATTCCAATAGAGACAGAAAATAACCAAGATAAATGAAGTATATGTTAGTTTTTGATTGTGATTGTGATAAGTACTGAGGGAAAAATATCCGAGGAAGAGGTATGATATGTTGGTGGTGGAGGGGTATGTAAATTTAGATGGAAGAGGACTTTTAAGTAAAGACCTAACATATATGGAAGTGAACCATGAAGATCCTCCAGCGAGGAAGCCAATGTGTCGGGAGTCAGAGTAACGAAAGGAGTCAAAAAGGCAATTGAGGGCCTTGTAAAGAATTGTAAGGACTTTGCATTTTACTCTGAGGCCACCATCTTAGGCAGCTTCCCTGAGATGCAGAAGCCACTGGAGGGATTTGGACAGAAGAGAGACATGATCTGCCTGGCTTGTATTTTAATCAGATCGCTCTGTTATGTGAAAAATGGACTGTAGAGGGCAAGGGAAGAAGTTAAGAGATGATGGTAACTTGAACTAGGGTTAGCCCTGAAGATAGTGAGAAGTGGTCAATGTTTAGATATGTTTTGAAGGTGAAATCAACAGGTTTGGGGTGAAATATCAGAAGTTTTACACATAGTGAGTTTTAGAACCAGACTAGATCATTCAAGTAAAACCACTGGATAGACACTTGGCTATGTAATTCTGGAGTCCAGGAGAAATGTCTGTAAACAGTACTTAAGGCCTTGAGTCTGGATGAGGTCATCTGGGCAGTGAATAAGTATATATAAAGAAGAGAAATGAGGAAAAAACAGCAAAAAAAAGTCTAAAAAAGAGCCAAGAATCACATAAGAGGAAAACCAGTAGGTGAACTGAAGAAACTGTATGAAGGAAGTGGGAATGGTGAACTAGGGGGCCTAATAAGATGAAAACCAAGTAATCAGCATCAGAACTTACAACATGTAGGTGATTGGTGACTTTGACAAGGGTCAGTTAGTGGTGTGGAGGGTAAAAACAGTGCTTAACGTAGCTTATGAGGAAACAAGGGAAATGTTAAGAGACCTTTCTTAGTAACTCTATGAACGAGCAGACGAAATAATAAAGACACAAAGGATTTGAACAATACAATAAGAGGATACAGTTTTCCAGTGCACATAAAACTTCTATTAAAAAAAAGACTATATGATGGGCCATGAAGCAAGTATCAACAAATTCGAAAGGACTAAATTTATAGAGAAGGTTCTTTGACATAGTGCAAGTAAGCCAGAATTCAGTAGCAAGAAAGATCTTTGGAAAGTCCCCATATATCCAACAGACACATGAAAAGATGCTCAACATCACTCATCATCAGGGAAATACAAATCAAGACCACGATGAGATGCTACCTCACATCTGTCAGAATGGCTAAAATCAACAACACAAGAAACAACAGATGTTGGCAAAGATGTGGAGAAAAAGAAACCTTCTTGCACTGTTGGTGGGAATTCAAGGGGGGTGCAGCCACTCTGGAAAACTTAAAAATAGGACTAGCCTATGGTCCAGTAATTTCACTACTGGGTATTTACCCCCAAAATACAAAAACACTAATGCAAACAGATATGTGCATCCCTACGTTTATAGCAGCATTATTGATCATAGCCAAATCATGGAAATGGTCCAAATGTCCAATGATAGATGAATGGATGAACAAGATGTGGTATATATACACAATGAAGCCACCAAAAAGAATAAAGTCTTACCACTTGCTATGACATGGAAGGAGCTTCAAGCAAAATAAGTCAGTCAAAGAAAGACAAATACCATATGATTTCACTTATATGTGGAGTTCAAGAAACAAAACAAATGATCATGGGCAGGAGTTGGGGAGAGAGTGACAAAATAGACTCTTAACTATGGAGAATACACTGATGGTCACCAGAGGGGAGGAGGTGCAGGGATGGGGGAAACAGGGGATGGGGATGAAGGAGGGCACTTGTCCTGATGAGCACTGAGTGATGTATGGAAGTGTGGAATCGATGTATTGTACACGTGGAACTAATATAACACTGTGTGTTCACTATACTGGAATTAAAATAAAAAGATCCCCATTCCCCATATACATGAAAATTTAAAATGCACTTCTAAGTAACACATGGATCAAGCCCTGTTCTCAGCACTCTACAAGTATGGATTCATTTATCCTGAGAGCAACCTGATGAGGAGCAGGAAGCTGAGGCACAGAGAGGTTAGATGGTTCAAAAAAAAGTCACACCATCCATGAATGGTAGTTTGAACCAAGAACTCCAGTTTCATGGCAGGTACTTTTAAATCAGTGATTTAAGAAAAAAAACTGGTTTCAGCGGGTCATGGGATTGTCTACAGAATTGGTTCAAGCAATGAAAGTGAGGCAACCCATAGGCCCCTGTAACAGCATAGTAGTAGAGCCCCAGTCCTCTGATACTTGGCGTGGAATTCACGTTCACATGAGGCTGAATCCACCACTTGTCAAACACTGTATTTACCCTTCTGGTCATATCTGTTGTAAGTACTAATGATTCCCAAACCACAGGAACTCAGAAAAGTAGTCATTCTTTTGGAAACAGAAAATGTGCCACTTTTGCTTTAATATGGGCTTACTCAAAGGACTTACATTCCTCAAAGTTTTGGTCAAACTCACCCATTGAAAATGCAGAAGGTGTGTCCATTGAGCATATATGTACAAAAGAAAAGTAAAAACATTTAAAACAGATACAGTTTAAGTCTTCAAGTTAGATTAAGAACAAACTTTAATTCAAGCACTTGTAAACCTGATGGTGATATAACATTATTATGTGGATTTGTGACTAAAGGATCAGTTGACATCACTGAAACACAAACACCCATTAAAAAACATAATATGACTGATTATGAGCCGTCAGGAAATGTATAACAAGCCGCTCCAAGAAAAACTAAAGGCCTGCCTTACAGTATTTTTCCATTTCTGTGGTGTAAATACTTTCATCATGGTAAATTGCAAGTTATCAATGTGACATCCACTAGCTTGCAAAATTCCTGAAAATGCAGCACACTCTGAAGTATGAGGCAAACTAACCTTAAGAGGTTACAAAGGACTTCCATGTTACGCATAACAAAGTACCACACTGTATGTGTTCATATGTTTCTTTGTTAAATTTATCTTTTAATTAGTAATTATTTGCAAGTGTGAAAATAAAAAGTCACAAAATGGTGTACAGTGAGGACTCTCTCACCCATCCCTTTCCATGAACCACCAAGTTCTTCTTGGAGGCAGGCATTTTATTCCTTTTTTGTATATCTTTCCGGAAGTACTCTAAGAAATTATACAAACATATACATTCTTTTTTCTGTTTTTAAAAACAAAGTTGGGAGCATAGTACACGTTGTTTCACACCTTGCTTATTTTCCGTTTAACAATATATCTTGGAGATCATTCCATTTCACTACCTAAAAACAAGGACAGTCATTCTGCTCTCCAACATTGTAACAAATATCCCTGTTCATACATCGTTTCACAACCCTGAACATATACATTAGATCAATTCCTATAAATGAAATCACTAGGTCAAAGACTGCTTCAAGAAGAGGCAGCAGACACAGTAGGTGGTTAAGCAGTGGGAGAATTAAAGACTCTAATCCTGCTTTCAGTGATTACGGATATAATCATATAATCGAGTTATGTTACCTGCAAACCAAGCTCTGCTTGCTGAAGCTTTCACAACTGGATTATTTGGTATAGAGGGAATCATTGCATGCTGGAGACTTAAAAGATTACAAGAAAAATGAGATATGCTGGAGAATAAGTAGAATCACATATATCCTACCCAGCTGAGCCTACATATCTTTAAGTCAATCATTTATCCATCCATTAATCCATCCATCCAACTATATACTAACTCTACATCTATGTGTGATAAAGAAAAGAAACAGTCAACAGACTTGTTGTCTAATAGAACATGATAATATAAGTCCATTATAATCAATATAACCTAAATAATGGAATGAACGAATAAGCCTTATAGAAATTTAGAACAACTGAAAAGTAAAAGAAGAAGAAGAAGGAGAAGAAGAAGAAGAAGAAGAAGAATGAAAGAAAATTGAAACCAACCATAATTTTTCCACTCAGAAATAGTTCACATGAACCTTTGGAGGTGATATACATCAAAATTTGTATTATTTAATTTGTGTGTATATACGGGTGTATGTACATATATCTGTGTAACACACAGAACTTGAATGTTACTGTGCACACTGTTTTGTGGATAAATATTAAATAATCGTCTACAGCAGTTATTCCCACTGGAGGAGCCTCCAAGAGAAGAAATCAAATTTTTCAAAAGAAGGTTTATTCCAGTCCCAACTTCTGACTTCGAGAATCACTCAGCATAATAAAAGATATTCCCTTGGAAAGCATATTACCCTTGTGGAGAGAATGGGATCCCAGAAAAGACTGAAAACCTCTCTTCCATACTATCATCGAAAATGTGTTCCAGCATGTTCAAAGCCCATTATTTACTTAGTCACTTTCAGATTGTTAAAATCAGGGAAATTATTTAGAGAGAAACAAATTAATCTAAATTAAGACATTTATTAACTTACCTGTAAGGAGGCAAACTGTCATTTTTCTCTTCCAAAGAAGCTAAATGTTGTTTTAGTGCTTCAAGTAAACTGTGGGGCGCCTGAAGATAAAGTTATTGTGAAAGACATATTTTCTGATAGTTCTTAGCATATCCATACACTCTTACATCATAAAAAGGTTCTGAACAAAAATGAAGACACCTATATAGCAAAGGCATTAAAGTTACATACAGTTGACCTTCAGACAATGTGGGGGTTAGGGGCACACACCCTTGTGCAGTGGCAAATCCATGTGCAACTTTTGACTCCCCCATAACTTAGCCACTGATAGCCTAGTCTTGACTGGGAAGTTTTACCAATAACACAAAGTATCTATTAACACTGATTTTCTATGTTATATGTATTATGCGCTGTGTTCTTACAACAATACCTAACTTTTTCTTCATTTTTTTTCAGTATTTGTAGGCTACACAGTTCATCGGTGAGTTTTTCCAAACTGTTGCAAATCTCCAAAACATTTTCCAATATATTTCTTGAAAAATCTCCACATATAAATGGCCTGCATAGTTCAAACTCATGTTTTTCAAAGGTCAGCTGCAAATGCTACAGATAAATTCATTATGAAAAGCAGCATCTTGATATCAAATCAGATTTTCAAACTATGCTTTCACGTACTTTTTTTTTAATGGCCAAAGGACTGCTAAAAGATCTATTTCTTTTGGACTTGAACTCATTCATTATTTTTTTTTAATTTTTTAAAGATTTTTATTTATTTATTTGACAGAGAGATCACAATCAGGCAGAGGCAGGCGGGAGGGGGGAGGAGGCTCCCCACTGAGCAGAGAGCCCAATATGGGGGTCGATTCCAGGACCCTGAGATCATGACCTGAGCCGAAGGCAGAGGCTTTAACCCACTGAGCCACCCAGGCATCCCTCATTCATTATTTTTTACTCCTTCATGAATCACCAGGTTTTCTTTCTTTCTCTGTTTCCATGAGCAAAAACAATCTAGCCCGGGGCTTCATGACCTTGGAATCTCCATTCTACAGGTCTGGGGGAGGAGAAATATCAAATAATCACATGAATAAATGCAAAAATCAAAGTTCTGAAAAGTACTATGAAAGAGGGGTACATGATACTCAGTGTTAAGCTAGGCCATCTGATCACGTCAGCGAGGTCAGGGAAGCAAGTCCTTCCAAAGAAAGCAACAGGTGAGCTGCCATCTGAAGGATATCTGGAACCTAAGTAAGAATGAGAATTGCAGGCAGGAGAACAACGTGTGCAAAGGCCCTGGCAAGGGCAGCTGGCACAGACCAAGAATAAAGTTGCGCTTTGTTGCTAGAGCAGAGAGCAGCGGGAAATGTGCAGGACATGAAGCTGGATAGTAGGTAAGGATTCAACAATGCAGAACCTTCCATTAGAGGCTATGTGGGTGACTGTAGACTTTATTTTAAGAATACTGGGTGGGGGTGCCTGGGTGGCTCAGTGGGTTAGAGCCTCTGCCTTTGGCTCAGGTCCTGATCGCAGGGTTCTGGGATCGAGCCCCGCATCAGGCTCCCTGTTCGGCGGGGAGCCTGCTCCCCCACTCCCCCACCTGATTCTCTGCCTGCTTGTGATCTCCATCGGTCAAATAAATAAATAAAATCTTAAAACACACAGACACACACACACATGGCCCAGCAGAAATCTGCTCTGAGGGATTTTCCTACTGGACTAAATATGGGGACCAGGGGAAGACCTGCCCAGAAATGCCTGTTAACAATGTGGGCACCCTGGGTAGGGAAGACCGGGAAGAAGGGACAATGGGACACCCAAAAATGATCAGTTTCATTACGTCCAACACGCAGTTGCCAAAGGGATAGAATATTTCTGGTTCATTCACTCAGTCATTGAACAAAAATATAACAACATAACTAGCAAAGAATAACTAAAATAACAAACTAACAAGTTAGCAGTAAATTCGAACAATGTTTGCTGGAAATAATGTTTTTTATCTGCATTGTTTTCGGACATTCTGCGGCAGCTGCGAATCTGACCACGTCAGCAGGACACCGCGGGGGACTCCCGAGAACTTAGGACGCGCCAAGGCGCTTCCCAGTGGAAGCGCAGCTAGGAGCCCGGAGACCTCCTCGGCGAGGCACAGGGTGACCCTCCAGCCACCGAAAGCACAGATACGCCGCGGCCGAGGGAGGAGACGCATCCAGGCAGACATCGACTTGGAGCCCCCCGGTAGGTCTCTGGGCTCTGGGTCCCGGGAGCTCTGACGAGGGACGCCGTCCGGATGCGGGAGTGTGCGCGGCGCGAATCTCGCGAACGCCCGCGGGCTGAAACCCACCACGTGGGTAATTCACCATTATGGCCCCAAAACCAGTCAGGCCCTGGAGAATGAGAAACTACAGTATCATCAGTCAGGTAGGAATCCAACTGTAGCCACATGCCAGGCACAAGAGTTCCTCTGGAACTCACATACATGCATGAAGTTTCGGCTTCCAAGTGTAAATCACAAGGAGTTTGTGGGCATGGGATGGACAACAGTACACATTAACAATTGTGACCCAGGCTGTGTTAACTCTCTCAACATTCTGTCATATGCTGCTCAGAAGAAGTCTAGATCATCTGGTAATCCCTCAGAGAATCACACTGATCCTCATATCTGTGATGTTACGCTAACTGGATCAGATGAGCAGAAAGTGGTTAGAAAAGCAACCTATGTTCCAGAAGGTAGGAGATAAACCTATAAAGATTCAGGGACTTTCTCCTTGAGTAACACGTTTAGGGTTCCAGGGGCCAGGAGTTTACTGGGAAATTCCATCCAAAATAGAGGATAACGTAGTACACATCATGCACCTCCCACCATCAAAATGGAGACACAACAGCTGGTAGGCCTCTTTGAGTTCCCAAGACAGCAGGTTCCCACACCAGGGCAAGAATGCTTTGATGCATATCCCAGATGACCTAAAAGCCTGCCACATTAGTTTGGGGCCCAGAGCAGGAAAGGGCTCCCTGGAGGGGGCCCAGGCCAGGCCAGCAGCCCTGCTATTCAAGCCCTGTGGTACATGTGGGACAGAGCACAAGCCAGTCCAAAAGACACAAGCAGGCTGCGTGAGCAGCTCGCCAGACCTTCATCTCAGCCACACCTCGACCTCATATCCCACCCATTGCAAGGGAGACATTCGTGATGAGCGGCCCCTAGGGAAGGAAAAAGCCTGAGCTCATTTGATTCTCACAAGACTGCTATGAGAAAGACAACAGAATTATATGCATTTTACAGTTGCATAAGTGAGCCACGGAGAATGGAAATGAGTTGCCTAAGATTCCAAATATTCTGCTGTTTCCACTAATCAGTTCTGTCCATTTAAAGAGCATGACTCATAGTCACCATTTAACACTCAGCAGGGAATGGCCTCTTTTACAGAACCAACAGCTCAAAGACCTGTTCAGAAAACACATGTCTATGTATATACTTGTGTGTGTGTGTGTGTGTGTGTGTGTGAGTCATGAGGAAATTAAAATACATACGTTAATTTATGGCAAAGGATGGAGTCTCAGATGACCATTAATATAATAAACACAGGGGCTCCTGGGTGGCTCAGTGGGTTAAAGCCTCTGCCTTCAGCTCGGGTCGTGGTCCCGGGGTCCTGGGATCGAGCCCCACATCGGGCTCTCTGCTTGGCGGGGAGCCTGCTTCCTCCTCTCTCTCCGCCTGCCTCTCTGCCTACTTGTGATCTCTGTCTGTCAAATAAATGAAATTTAAAAAAAAATAATAATAAACACATATACCTAATGACAAACAAAAAGTCATTTAAACACATAGGAAAGATATACTGACCTGTGTAAGATATGGAATGTCGTTCCGGTTAATTCCAACTTGCTGAATTCACAAGCGAGGGGGGAGTACACATTACAACAGGGAGTGGCAACAAAGAAAAGTAACTGTAAGACCAACGTGCACACAAAAGAAAAAATACTCCTGGAGCATGAATGCCTTGCTGGCTTAGTACCTAGTTGGTCAGGAAAAACATGTCAAGCAAAGGTATGCCTTGTACACTTAAAGCCAAACTTATAGTCATCCTAAGGATAACCCTATAAAAGAGAACACTTGTCAGATATTGGATCTTTGCTGTTCTGGAAAGAGCCAAGTTGCATTTTTGGATATTCATACTGTTGTTCTCCTTTGAGTAATGTGTCGTGTTTTGTTTTTGTTGTGTTCTGTTATGTTTGTTTTGGTTTTCAGAAGTTCAATGTATTTATCCTGCTTGGGTTCTTCTGAGTGTCGGGGGAAATGTGGGGGTCACCTCATGTGTTCCCTTCTTCAGTTGATAACAGACCTGTGCTACGTATTGTCCACTGTCTGGAAAGATACGTGTCATATGAGGCCCAGTTTCTGGTGGGAGGATACACTTGACAACAGTTATCTTCACAACTACAAACACAAATCTTTGAACTACTTAATTTTAGTGTATAGTCTTACTGTTTACAAAATAGTTAAAAATACTAACAATTTCTGTGTGTTTGTGCAGTGCGGGGAGGGGTGGTATAGTTACACCAGCTCCTAAACTAATACAGAAAACAACAGAAAAGCCTTGGATAGAAATCGATTTCTGTACCTCTGCAACTTTCAGGAACTGTGCCAGTTTGGCTGTTCTTTCAAGGAACTTGATGTAAATATCCAAACTCTCCTTGCATTGGTTTTTCCTCATATCAAAATATTTGTCTAAAAATTTAAAAAAATCACCATGAAGGAGCCAATATCTCAGCGATTTTCCAGTTTCACTCCATTTTCATAATTTTAATTTCAGCTGAATCTGTATATGATTTTAACTTGTTCAAAACAATTATAGATTTAAGCCAGTTATTTTCTGTCTTAGCAAGAAACAAGACTGCTCAATCCATATAATCAACAGATTTTTATGAAGTACCAGATGCCAAACCCTGATGCTGGGAAGATATCCAGAATTTAATCGCATATCCAGAGAGTTTGATTTAGTTTAATCTCTACAACTTCCGGTCTGTAATCTTATTGACTAACATCAAGATCTGAAGATTTTGAGGGAAGGGGCTGTGTATCCTTCTCTTTCATAACTCTACAAATGTACTAGGATACTCCTTCAGTGTAAGAAATACCTCAAATTCTCATCAATGAAGCTTGGAGAACACTCCCTATGAAATGAATCATTCATGAGGGCTAAATGAGGAAAGAAATTTCCCAGAAATATCAATTAGCATTTATACAAAAAAAAAAAAAACAGCTCAGTGGCTAATTAGTCAAGGAATTTTAATCCAAAAAAGAAATATAATGTCTCATTATTTTTAAATATATATGATCTTAAAAGGATCCTCCATTTTGAATCTATCACGAAAGTAGTCTAAATTAGTCTACACATAGAGATAAAAGGTTTTGACCAGTCTATTTTTTAAGCAATGTTCATTCTTTAGCCTACCTAGCAGATTAAGGATCCCCTCATTATAGGCTGCAAAGAGGCGAAGAGAATCCTTAAAGAGAAGCATGAAAGCAGCATGTATTATACCATTGGTTAGCTCATCAGGATTTGCCTGGAAATTAAATAGAAGAGTTTAAAACAATTCCTTCTCCCACTTACTGCAAAACAGTGTCCTTGGCCTGTATGTTTAAAAAGGATACCAAAAGCTCTTACATTAAAATTAAGAAGAGCGTCAAACTGCGTTTGAATGACTGGAAGAGTGTTTAGCAGCTGCTTTGTATCCATAGTTCTCATCGTACCATCCGTCCTATAAAAGAGAAAAGACCTTCATGGTATCAGTAATTAGGAGTTTTAGAAGCACTGTGACATCAGCGTCTTAAAATGAAGCTGTGTTTTCGGTCAACTCCATATTTTCGCCTACAAGCCAGTGGTATTTACTGACCCTCTCTTGGTTTTGGTGATGTCAGATGCAATCAGTCTGTATGCGAGAGACTTCTCATTCAAGTACCTGCTGTATCGTCTGATGAAGGTTGACATGGTGTAGCCTAAACATGAATGACAAGTCATTATTTCCAGTTTTACCAACACGAACCATTTACAGTACACATAAATGCAAAGAGCTACCATTTCACTTCCCCCCATATACCCCAACAAATCTTCCAAGCACAAAAGCTAAAGATTCTAGCTCAAGATTATTGCTTAGTTCCTCAAGGCCTCAAAACCACCTTGTGAGGTAGTGGTGACATTCGAGAATACAGGAAATAAGTGAACTTTATCAGTTTCTTCCCACTGCCACAGAAACTATCCTAAGTTCTTACCACTTTCCTGAAACTCCCCATCCCACTGTCACCATGCCTCCCCAACCCTCCCATGTTTTAACCAGGCATGGTTTTCAAAACAGAGCTTTTCCCTCCTTGCCACATGTAGTATTTCCATCAAAGAATCATCTTACCTTCTATGACACTTTTATCCAGGAAGTTGTGTAAAGTAAACAAAGAGTTTCTAGATGCAAGATGTTGGATAAAACGCTGTCAAATGTGCCAAATTATAAAGTTAGCTTCTGTCCATAAATAGAGCTTTTTAATGAGTTTATCACTGTGAATTCATAGTTAACATAATTCTGTCATATAGCTTCTATCTATTTCCAGAGCATTGATTAATAATTAATAATATAAATCTTTACAGTGTATTTTCTTTATAGTTTCAGATCTATTTGTCCCAGTATTTTTAAATTTACATGAATAATATTATATCTAAATGTCATTCTGCAACTTACTTCCTCTATTAGCATTCTTTTTGAGATCTAGCCTCATCAGTATACATTATATAGTACTTCATTATACATATGCACCTCATTTTAGTGATCTGTACTGATGGAAATTTACGTGATTTCTACTTTTTAGTTATTATAAATATGATATGAGAAGTGGATTTGCTGGGTCACTGGGCTTGGCATTTTCAATTTTACTAAACATGTCTCAATGTTCTCCTCTCCCCAGTCATAAATTCCATATCATCCACAGGGTATGTGAGTTCTCATTTCCTCAAGACCTTCCAACTCTTCATATTGTCATGCATTTTAAATTTTGTTTATCTGAGCACGTTGTCAGATGGTTTTCAGCCATTCTGGTTTCCTTTTCTATGAATTCTCTGTTCATTTGTCTTGTGCATTATTCCACTATACTGCTTTTTTCTTACTGATCACGAATCCTGAATATTCATCTTTTTTCTTTAATATCTCTGTTTGAAATATCTTATTCCAACTTTATGGTGTCTTTCCTACTCAAATGTCATAAGCACGTTCTCCTACATTTTCTTCATTTTTAAAACTTAGCTTTTTGCCCTTACAGGTGTTTCATTCGTGTGGAATTTATTTTTGTATGTTGGGGTAAGATTAAGATGTCATTCTATTTTTTCCAAAAGATGTTATTTCTCTCAAAAGGCTTTATTTTATTGTATCGTATTTAAAATCTAGTTAGTTAACATACAGTGCAGCACTGGCTTCTGGAGTAGAATTCAGAGATGCATCACTCACATACAACACCCAGTGCTCACCACCAGTGCCCTTAGTTCCCATCACCATCTAGCCCATCCCCCCACCCACCTCCCTCCATCAACCCTCAGTTTGTTCTCTAACGTTAAGAGTCTCCTATGGGGGCGCCTGGGTGGCTCAGTGGGCTAAAGCCTCTGCCTTCGGCTCGGGTCATGGTCCCAGGGTCCTGGAATCGAGCCCCGCATCGGGCTGTCTGCTCAGCGGGGAGCCTGCTTCCTCCTCTCTCTCTGCCTGCCTCTCTGCCTACTTGTGATCTCTCTCTCTCTCTCTGTCAAATAAATAAATTTTTTTTAAAAAAAGAGTCTCTTATGGTTTGTCCCCCCACCTTTTTCTAAATCCTAATTTTTTAATGCAAAGCTTACTGAGACAAAATGTTAGAGTAGAATAAATAATTGGATGTTAAAGAACATTTCAGTTCTGTAAAATACAAAGAGCGTATGTGGGGACAGGTGGACAAGTAATGACGTAATCCACTCAGGCACCTGTTTTCTCCTGGTAAAGTAAAGCAATACACCTTTGAGGGTTTTCTCTCTCTGGTCAAAAGAGTTTAAGGAAGTGAGAGAGATGTCCACTCTATCACCCACTTTCTTATCTAGTGGCTGAAACAGTGTACCTCCAATACTGATTGCCAAGATATACTCCTCAGTAAAAATGCAAAAATCAGCCTTTTCGTACCTACTGCTGTTCACTTCCCCCACTTGTCACAAAGTAACAGATAATAAGCCTTGACATACCAAGAATATTTTGCAGTCGTATACTGACAGTCCTCCATACCAAAAGGAAGGACATGGTTACCAGTCGAATATCTGCATTCTCACCTCATTTCCGTGCACCATAAGGTGATGTACAGTAACCAGGGCTTTGAACACTACCACCCAGCTGCTGTTCCCGGTTTTCTCAGAAAGAACATCAGCCAAATGATCCACGCTCATGTTTGTTCCATTTATGTACTGAATGAGGTCTGAATGAGAGACAGTGGCAAGTATTAAAACACAAATGAGAAATATTTTTTAAAATCAAAATTGGTGACTTTAACTTAAATACAGAGCAATCAAATGTCAGAAATGACAAAGGGAATAATTCAAAACATTTTCTTCGTTACAGTTGTTACAATTTGTACTGATGTATGTGACCTGATAGTTAATGGCCCACTACTCTATTGTCCTGTATACTTGGTGGGGGTAGGGCCTGTGTCCATTTTGGACACCAGGTCTCCCTGAGACCCAGCACAATAGCTGGTATACAATGAGTTACGGTAAATACTTGTTAAATGAATGACTAGGACTCAAGAAGGTAACATACACAATGTCATACAGATAGTTAAGTGGCGGGGCTGGTATTTGAAATCAGACTCTTTTGACCAAGATGTGGACCATTATGTCATCCTGCCTCCCTCAAGAAAAGTGTCATTACATGAAGGTTCAGTCAGGCACTTTCCTTGTAGTGTCACCCCATGTCTGACCCTTTGCTTGCATCCTTTAACCTTTTGTTACTTCTTCTTTAAAAAAAAATTTTTTGAGTAAACTCTGCCCCCAACGTGGGGCTCAAACTCACCATCCCAAGATCCAGAGTCACATGCTCTACAGACTGAGCCAGCCAGGTGCCCCAATTGCTAACTTTCATAATTGCATTTTTCCCATTGTTGTAGACTTCATCCCCAGCACTTCTTAATCAGCATGTTCACGTACTGAGGAGGGTGCTTAGCAAATATGCTAGGTAAGCACTAGGCTGACCTTAACCTAGATCCATTCACTTAAGTGTATATACACTACATGCCAGTGGCTCTGCCATGATTAAGATTATGAAGAATGAGCTTCTGTCACGTTTTTTCTCTAAGTCGGCTTCCTTCCTCTGTCTGGTTAGTTTCCTTTGCAAATTTGTTGTTTCCACTTTTCCACTATTTCAGCCTTTGGACTGAACCTTTGGCATATCATGGTACTGAGCCAAGTGTTCCCCTTTGGTTCCACACGTCATTCATGTAGCTAACTGTTGTTCGAGAACAGAAGGTCTTGGGAAGCCAATTTTGGTACACAGTGAATCAGTGGAAAGCTTTTAGACAAAATACCAAAATAAGGAGGTGATCGTAAGAGTGAGTTGGCTCTGAAGTTTTGAAAAGCAGTGGGATTTATGTATACAGGCAAAATCACCTATTGTTTATAGAGTCAGTGCTTGATGTGAACTCAAACAGCAGGTGGCAGGGCTAGCCTGAGAGTCTGTTCTGTCTTTGAGCCATAGAGAACTTCAAGAATCAAGATTCTGTCTCCTGGAAACATTCACAGGGGCGCAAAAAATGTTGTTGGACATTCTAAAGCCTATTCGTTGACCTTAGGTTAGGACTGCTTGTGGGATGATCAGCTCTATAGACTTTTCCTTCCTTTACTTCACAAGACTTGCTGAATGTAATGATTCGTAAGGGGTCCGGGCTGGACTTTGAAATTAGACTCTTTTCAGAAGGCTGGGTTGTTACTCCACCATTTCGTGTGTCCTAAATTCCCGGAATAGCTTGTAAATAGTTCCGAGGCTGGACTTAAAAAGACCAGTGGTTCTCTTCTAGCCTCCCTCCTAAGATGACTAGGGGTGAGAATTCAATCTCCTGTCAAGGCTGCTGCAGGAAAAAGAGGGTTGGGGGAGGGGGGCGGGGTACCGGCACCAGAGGCGCCCCGGCCTCCTACTCACCCGCCAGGTGTTTCGCCTCGGGTTCCATAGGCTCATCGGTGGTCGCCCCGAGGGCAGCCTTGGACGCAGACGACCCCATGGGTGCGTCGCGGACTGCCAGCCACGAGGGTGATGGCCCCGGAGTCTGGTCCCTCCTCTTCCGGACCGGCGGACTGAGCGAGGATGGCACCTCCGGCAACAGGTGGAGCCCCCGAGGTGACGGAAGAAAGGCCTGGCCCTGCAGTCTGACGCAGAGCCGCAGCACTGTGAGGTGGAGTTTGAAGCCGCGAGGCCCCAGGGTGTTGGCCAGAGCGCGCGGCGAGAGGGCCGCGGGCCACGAAGCGGGTCCGAAGACAGGATTGAGCGTGGGGCATGGCGCCTCCAGAGGAGCGAGGCGGATCCTTCGCGGAGTAGATGCTCAATAACAAACTAGAAAAACCCATCGACTGCATATTATGACGAAGGGGGACATGTTGAAGACTCCAGGCGAAAGCTCTGCCGCTCTTCGGGTTTGGGGAAGTTCGCATATTATGGGGGCTGTTTCCTGCGTAGGGACTCGTCCTCCTCTCCTTCACCCAGCAGCGGATATAGAACCATAGGGTTGTTCATACTCTCCCTTGATTATCCTTTAATGTCCGTGCAGTCTGTAGTGATGTGCCCACTGTCGTCCCCGATGTTGCTGAGTCTTCTCTCTCCTTTTTCTGACTAGACAGCTATCAGCGGTGATGGTCTGCTCCAAGAACCAACTTTTGGTTTCACTGGTTTTCTCTACATTCTGTTTCCTATTTCATTGACTTCTGCTCTTTACTATTTCCTTACCTTCTACTTGCTTTTCATTTATTTTGCTCTTTATCTTCTGGTTTCTTACGGTAGGTTAGATATCTTATCTTCTATTATAATAAAAGCATTTAGACTTAAGTACTGCTTTTCCTGTCAAAGAACATATTGCTTATGATTTCAATCTTTTAAACTTTGTTGAGATTCATTTTGTGACCTTTATCAAGGTCAACGTCTGTGTACCCTTGAAGAGATGCATATTTTTCTACTTTTAGGTGCAATGTCCCAATTAAATGTGTAGTATAGTTCCTAATATTGTATCACAAGTGACTAAAACGGTTCATTTTTATTTGTGGAGACTTCCCCTCCCCCCACCATGCTTAAAATTCGAGAGTTTCTTCAGGTATCTCTTCAAGTTCAGTGATCTTCTGCAGCCTAATCTTCTGTTGATCCCATCCAGGACAGGTTGCATTTCTAATATTCTATTTTTCATCCCTACCAATTCCATTTGGCTCTTTTTATAACTTTTATTGCTCTTCTCATTATGTTCACATGTTCCTTTAAACCCTTGAGGATACTGATAACAGTTACATGGTTATTTTAAGATGTTTATCCGCTAATTCACCTTTGATAATAGCTGTTTCTGTTGACTTTTATCTTGTCTTGTACATGAGTCATATTTTTCTGCTTCTTCTGATGAATACTTGACACTGTTAATGCTACTTTGTTGTATTTTAATTTATCTGTTAAAGAATGTTAAATTTTGTTTAGATACGCACATACACTACCTTTTTATGGCCAAATAATATTCCATTACATGGGTATACTACGATTTATTTATCTACTCATTCTTTGATGGATATTAAACTATTGTGAATACTGCTTCCTTTACAAGTATTTGTTCCATTACCTGCTTATAGTTGTTTTGGGTATATAGCTATGAATGGAATTGCATGGTTATATGGTAATTTCTCCACATCCTCATCAACATTTGTTTGAGTATGGCCATCCTACTGTGTGAAAGTGGTATCTCTTTGAGGTTTCATTTGCATTTCCCTGACAACTAATGATTTAGAGGACTTTTTTTTTTCATGTGTTTATTGGCAATTTGTGTATCTACTTTGGAGAAAGGTCTGTTCAGATCCTTTGCCCATTTTTACATATTTTTATTTTTTTTAAGTAGGTTCCACACCCAGCGTGGAGCCCAATGCAGGACTTGAACTCATAACCTGGAGATCGAGAACTGAGCTGAAATCAAGAGTCAGATGCTTAACCAACTGAACACCCAGGTGGCCCCCTTTGCCCATTTTTAAATTGAGTGATCTTTTTTTTTTCAGTTTTATTGAGGTGTGATTAACAAATAAAATTTTGTATATATTTAAGTTGTAGAATGTCATGTTTTCTTTTAAGGTGTTATAACATGAGGGTTTGGTTTTTACATTTATAATATTTAATATAGTTTCACAGGCCACAAAGAAGTAAAAGGATTATATACAGCCTTGTAGGAAATGGGCAGGGAGCTGAGGAGGGCCAGGATGAGTCTAGGGCCTTGGTGGGTGCATTCCAGGGGGAGGAGGCCCTGAAAGGGAAACCAGACAACCCTGTGAGACTCTGAGAACAATGGCATAACAAACAGGTGTGTGGTAACCCGGCCCTGGGGGATTGGGCCCATGCCTCTGTGGTGCTACTTCCATAACTCTGTGGCCAAAGGTCAAAGAAGGCCTCGCATCCCTGGGGGATGGGGTCACATCCCTGGAGGGGACATGCCCATTGGAGTTCCTCATCCAGAAGGGAATCCCCATTGGGGGACCAACTGGGGGGCCTCATGCCAGGTGGTGGACCCACCATGCTTGAAGGGGGTGCCCTCAGTCCATAGGTAAGGGAGGGCCCCCACAACCAGGTGGATACTGGGTTGGGGACCTTGCAATACTGGTTGTGGCAGCAGCTGCGGTGGATGCAACATTGCCTCTTCCTTGCATGGTCATTGCCTGTTGGGAGCCTGGGACACTGGAATACCGGCTGGGATTTTTCTGCCAGGAGCTTTCCCAATCCCTGGGTGCCTGGCAGCTCCAACAAGTGGCACTCAGGCAATGCCAGTATCTTTGGGAGGAGATCCCTCTCCTGTCATTCAGATTAGGTTCTCCCCCCAAAGAGGGGGATGGCTCCAGTTCCTGCTGGGTTCCCCTCAGCGCAGCCCACTTCATGGCACCACTCATGGATGTGCAGCCACAGATAAAATGGGGTCGGGTAAAAGCTACTTTCCACCTCATTGCTCGGCTCTTGAGTTTCCTTGAAGACTTAATATATATATACTGACATACTAACAGTTTTTCTGTGTATGATGAGAACACTTAAAATCTACTCTTTTAGCAAATTCCAAGTATACAATTTTATTAATTATGGTCACCATACTATACATTAATCTCTCTTATAACTGAAAGTTTGTACACTTTGACCAACTTCTCCCCATTTCCCCCATCCTCAGCCCCTGGAAACCACCATCATTCTATCATTCTACTCGTTGGTTATATAGGTTCAACGTTCTTAGATTCTGCATATAAATGAGATCACTGCATTATTTGTCTTTCTGTGTGTGGCTTATTTCACTTAGCATAATGTTCTCCAGGTTCATCCATATTGTCACAAATGGCAGCATTTCCTTCTTTCTTATGGCTGAATTATATTCCATTGTATACATACCACATTTTATTTATCCTTTCATCCATCATCGGACACTTAGATTGTTTCCATGTCTTGGCTATTATTAATAATGCTGCAATAAACATGGGAATGCATATATCTCTTTGAGATCCTGATTTCATTATCTATGGGTATATACCCCAAATTGGGATTTCTGGATCATTCAGTAGTTCTATTTTTAATTTTGCCTAATTGCTGTACCCAGGACTACCAGTATTAGGTTGAATAAAAGTAGTGAGGGGGAGCACTCTTGTTTTATTTTCTGAAGCTTGAGAAAAAGCTTTCAGCTTTTCACCATTGAGGATGATATTAGCTATGGACTTATTGGCTATTGAAAGGGTCCATAGACAAAAGGACGAGACTGATACAAAGCGAAAGTTAAGCAGGGCTTTATTTCGCGCCAAGCATCGAGAATCAAGCTGACCGGCCAGGGCCGCCTCTTGCAAAGAGGCGACCCCTCCCAGCCTCACAGACTAACTTTTATAGAGCAAAGGCCATGTGGTTGAGCCTGGCCACACACAGGTGGCCAATTGAATTACAATTCACCCTATAGTAATTATTTGAATTAGCCTATCACTCTGGTCAGAATTGGCGCCCAAAAGGCAAGGCCCACATTCTTGGGTGGTTAGAGAGGTGCTTTCCTGATTGGATGTCTCCACCTGGCTTGGCTCATCCTTGGTGGGTAGGGAGGTAATACGTGCGCTTTCCCTTGATTGGACATTTCCACCTGGCCGGACACGTCCTTGTATCTGGACTCCGTTATCGGGGGCTATTTGGCGGTATTTCACCAAATCTGTTTCTAAGCGCTTTTCTCTTGGGGGGAAGGGGCAGGTTCAATCCAAGTTTACTGCATAAACAACAAAATGGCTCGCTCTGGCTAATTAGGCCCTTACTGCTATGGCTTTTATTATGTTGAGGTACATTTGTAACCTTCATTTTGCTAATGTAGTGTATCACATTGATTGGTTTGTCGATGTTAAACCATCCTTGCATCCCTGGAATAGATTCCATTTGATCATGATGCATGATCCTTTTATGGTGCTGTTAAATTTAGTCTGCTGGTGTTTTGTTGAGAATTTTGCACATATATTCATCAGGAATATCGGCTTATAATTTCATTTTACCGTGTGTCCTTGTCTGGCTTTGGTATGAGGGTAACGCTGGCCTTATTAAATGAATATGGATGTATTCCCTCCTCTTTAGTGTTTTGGAAAAGTTTGAGAAGGATTGGTATAAATTCTTAATTAAATGTTTAGTAGAATTCACTCATATACAGTTTTAAGCATTTTTTTTTTCACAGGGTGGGGGGCGGGCTGCACAACTGAGAAGCATCTCTGGATAATTGAGGCCCTAACCCAGTCCTGGTACAGCTGACACACTTAAGGCAGGCGGTTTGGTTTGTAAATGTGTCAATTCCCTGGAAAGGTACCTCCCATTTAAATAGTAATATTTAATTTGGAGGTTGGAGGGGGTGAGAAACCCATTTTGGCCTTAAGTGAGCTGACATATCTTTGAACTAAGCCTAGGCATCTTCAGGAACATCAGTGCACCAAAGGCCTCAAGAAAAGGAAGGCATTGGGGTAAAGATCACCATGCTAATGAAGGAGCTCGTGAAGACAGGACTGCCTCAGGCTGTACACTCCACGCTGGTTAGTTTTCTTAACAGCTCCTGTTTCTATTGGCTCCACCGACAGCCCAAGAGGGGATCAAAAGTCTGATGCAGCTTCTTTTACCACAGAACAAATGGGCCAATTTTTGGCATGAGTTACAGCTTTTGGTTGTTGTTGTTGTTTAATCAGGAACATGAAATTCTTTACTTTGGGAAAGCCAGCTAGCTCTTTTTCTCTGACAGAAGGAGTAAGCATTGTGCATTCACCGCATTGTTTCAAGAAATGATCGCTAGCATCTGGATTTTGTTGGTGATTATCAATCACTCCACCTGGCCAGCAGCCACGGCCATTGAGATGGAAACTTTCAACTTGCCACAACCAAGACATTATTTATAAAAGTAAAACTTTTGGACAGCAGAGAAAGTTTCTAACACTTTACAAATGTGTGTAGCTCAAACATGTAACATATTTTAACACCCATTCCACATTTTTACGATACATACAATTAATTGGCCCAAGCCTCATTCACAGGTTACTTTAAACCTTTTTTCTTCACTGCAAGTTTTGTCCAAACTCTAAGAAGAATTTTTTTGGTTTTGTTTTTGTTCTAACAAAAAGAGATACTACCTCTTACCTCCTCAGCTGGGAGCTTAGGGAGTTCAAGGTAGAGAGAAAAAGGCCAGCCTGCGGGGTTGGCTGGATTTGCATGGAAGAGTCCTCTCTTTTTTTCATGTTTTATAAGCAACTTTATTGAGACACAATTTACAGACCATACGTTGTTTTTATTATAGTCACAGAGCTGTGCAACCATCACCAGAGTTACCATTCGAATGTTTTCATCACCTCAAAAAGAAATTCTACACCTTTCGGCTCTCATCCCTGTATCCTTGCTCCCTCCAGCCCCTGGCAAGCACTAATCGGCTGTCTCTGTGGATTCTCTGTTGTGGACATTCCAGATACATAGAATTATAAAACATGTGTCCCTTTCTATCTGCCTTCTTTTACATAGCATAATGTTTTCAAGGTTCATCTGTGTTATAGCAAGTGCCAGTAATTCATTCCTTCTTATGACAATAGTATTCCGTTGTACAGGTTAGGGTTAGCGTGAGGGTTACCCATTACAGTTTATAGGTATTTGGGTTGCTCCCACCCTTTGGTTGTTTTGACTAGTTCTGACATAAACATTTGTGTATAACGTGTTACCTTTTGGAGGAACCACTGTTGTCCATTTTACATTCACAAGAGCTCCAATTTCCTCAACATTGTCATTATTGTAGTTCTTCATCCTACCACGTGTGAAGTCGTATCTCATGGTGGTTTTGATTGCATCTCCCTGATTATTAATGATGTCAAGCATCTTTTCATGTGCTTATTGATCATTTGTTTATCTATGGGGAAATACCTATTTATATCCTTTGTCCATTAAAAATTTTTTTGTGAGGGGCGCCTGGGTGGCTCAGTGGGTTAAAGCCTCTGCCTTCAGCTCAGGTCATGATCCCGGGGTCCTGGGATCGAGCCCGGCATCGGGCTCTCTGCTCAGCAGGGAGCCTGCTTCCCTTCCTCTCTCTCTGCCTGCCTCTCTGCCTACTTGTGATCTCTGTCAAATAAATAAAATCTTTAAAAAAAATTTTTTGTGTGAGTTGTCAAAGTACTTTACATATTCTTGATGCTAGACTCTTATTTATATGATTTGCAAATATTTTCTCATACTCTCTGCATTCTTTTTACTTTTTGAAGTCCAATTTATCTACTTTTTCCTTGTTGCTTCTGCTTTTAGTGTCATAACTAAGACTCCATTGCCAAAACCTAGGTCATGAAGATTTGCTGCTATGTTTTCTTCTAAGGTTTTTTATAGTTTTAGCTCTTATATGTGGGGTTTTGATACATTTTGGGTTGATATTTGAATATGTTGTGGGGTAGATGTCCACCTTCATTCTGTTGCATGTGGATATATAATTGCCCTCACACCAGCTGTTAAGATTATTTTCCCCCCATTCAATAGTCGCAGTTTCCTTATAGACATCTGACCACAGATGTGTGTGTTTAATTCTGGACACTTGGTTCTATTCCGGAGATCTGTATGTCTATCCTTGTGACAGTACCAAATTGTCTCATATGAGTTTTGAAATCGGTTGGTGTGTTCCTCCTGCTTTGCTCTTCTTTTTCAAGATGGCTATTCACTTCAGCACATTGGCTTTCACCACAATCTCTACCATTTGTACAAGTGCCCTTAGGCTTGAACTGTTCCTCATTCTGTTGCAAATGCAGTCAGTTCCTCTGGAAAGAGATCAGGAGTATCTGTTTTATGGACTGCTTCTCTCCCAGCAAAAACTCCAAGCCAGGGCTCTAGAGCTGAAGATGGGGACAAGGCAAGCTTCTCTCTGTATGATACCGCTGCTCTAGGAGTTAAATGGTCAGTTTGGTGGTTGGGGGGGTGGTGGTGTTGCAGTAGCCTGCAATCCTTTCAGTTTGCCTCTTCAGGCATGGAACCACCACCTTTTTTTTTTTTTTTCATTAAGGTATAATGTATTATTTGCCCCAGGGGTACAGGTCCGTGAATCATCAGGCTTACACACTTCACAGCACTCTCCATAGCACATACCCTCCCCAATGTCCATCATCCAACCACTCTATCCCTCCCCCCGCAACCCCCAGCAACCCTCAGTTTGTTTCCTGAGATTAAGAGTCTCTTATGGTTTGTCTCCCTCCCGATCCCATCTTGTTTCATTTTTTTTCCTTCTCTACCCCCAAAACCCCTGCCCTACCTCTCAAATTGCTCATATCAGAGAGATCATATGGTAATTGTCTTTCTCTGATTGACTTATTTCACTCAGCATAATACCCTCTAGTTCCATCCACGTCATTGCAAATGGCAAGATTTCAGGGGGTTTTGATGGCTGCATTATATATATCTGTTGATGGACATCTAGGCTCTTTCCATAGTTTGGCTATTGTGGACATTGCTGCTATAAACGCTGGGGGGCACATGCCCCTTCGGATCACTACATTTGTACCTTTAGGGTAAACACCCAGTCGTTCAATTGCTGAGTCATGGGGTAGCTCTGTTTTCCCAACTTTTTGAGGAACCTCCATGCTGTTTTCCAGAGGGAACCACTGCCTCTTGAAATGGGTGAGATCAGGTACCCAGTACTCTCAGGTTAGAAAAATAATTTTTTTTAAGATTATTTATTTATTTGACAGACAGAAATCACAAGTAGGCAGAGAGGCAGACAGAGAGAGAGGAGGAAGCAGGCTCCCTGCCAAGCAGAGAGCCCGATGCAGGACTCGATCCCAGGACCCTGAGATCATGACCTGAGCCGAAGGCAGAGGCTCAACTCCCTGAGCCACCCAGGCGCCCCAGAAAAATAATTTCTAAGTGCCATAACTCTATCAGTGCAAACATTTCAGAAGGTGACGGAGAGAGATGTTGAAGATGTCTATTTGATTTCATATTTCTGCAAACGGTTGTTCAATTCACTGAGGTAAGAAATACTGGTAGGAAATATTCCCTAATATGGTTTAGATTGAAAACCAGGAGTTCAGATTCAGATGTATTAAGAGAGCCAGTGGAAATGTGCAGAAGGCAGATGGAAATTTAGATGTAGAGTTCACGTAGAGGTCTGGATGGAGACAGATTTGCCTGTCAACTCCATTTACAGATAAGCAACAATAGAGAAGCCTCTGAATGAATTTGAGAAGGAACAGCTAGAGAAGAGAAAAACCAGGAAATAGCAGAAGCCAAGAAAGGCAGATTTCAAAGAAGAGTGGCCAATTGTGTCCAGACTGAGAGGTTTACTAGGGCATGAAAATCATCTATTGACATTCACTATGTCCTGGAGGTCATTGGTAACATTGGCAGGAAGGGTTTGAACGGAGTGATATGGACAGAGGTCAGAACACAATGACTTGAATGAATAGGAAATGATAAAATGGAGAGAGAAGGCAAGGGTATATATTGTTCCCATCAGAGTCTTGGCTGTGATTGAAAAAAGAGAATCTACTGACCAGAAGGGGATACAGAGTTGCATAAAAGTAAGCCTGATTGGTGCAGGTGGGAAAGTAATGATACATCTTTTCATCACTGTTCCTTGTGATGCTGAACACTTTTAAGGACTGAACACTGAGCTAAAAGGAACCTTGGTGGTGATCCACTCTAGCCTTATAAATGAGAAAAATGAAGTCCAGAAAAGGAAAGGGACATGTGCTCAACATTGGCCTATAAAAACCTTCAAATCATTTTATTCCCCTTGGGTTTTCATCACTCTTACTTCATAAATTAAGTGCCATTCCTCCTAGTTCCTTATTTAATATGTCTAACTTTTTATTTTGTAGTAATTATAGATTTACAGGAAGTTGCAAAAATAGTACAGTGAGTCCCATGTATCCTCTACCCAGTTTCCCCCCAGTGGCAAGATCTTACATTACTATTGTGCAACTTCAAAACCGACATATTGACAATGGCACAATACTGCTAACTTGATTACAGACCTCACTCAGTTTCATGAGATTTCACATGCATTCATTTGTGGGTGTGTGTAGGTCTATGTAGTTTTAGCACAGATAATGTATTCAACACCATAATCAAGACAGAACTATTCCATCAGCACAAAGGAACATCCTGTATTATCCCTTTATAGTCACACATATCTCATTCCCCCTCCAGTCCCTATCCCTGGCAATCATCTCAAGAATGCAATCAGATAGTATGTGACCTTTTGAGACTGGCCCTTTCATTCATCATAATACCCTTAAGGTGTACCCAAGTTGTTTCTCTTCATTGCCGAGTAGTATTTCATGGTACAGATGTTTGGTTTAATTACTCATTCAATTGCAGGTTATTTGGGTTAGTTCCAGTTTTTAGCTCTTACAAATAAGCTGCTAAAAACATTTGTGTACAAAATTTTGTTCCATCATAGCTTCTCATTTTTCTGGGATAAATGTCCAGGAGTGCAAATGCTGGGTTGCATGATACATGGATGTTTAACTTTATTAGAAATTCCCAAAGTCTTTTATAGAGTGGCTATACCATTCACCATTCCTGTAATGTATAAGAGATCCAGTTTGTATGCTCAACAGCATTTGGTATTTTCACTATCTTTTTTTCTTTACCATTCTGTTAAGTATGTAATCATAATTCATTGTGGTTTTAATTTGCATTCCCTAATGACTACTGAAGTTCAACATCTTTTCATGTGCTTACTTGCCATCCATATATCCTCTTTAGTGAAATGTCTATTCATGTCTTTTGCTCATTTTCAATTGGATGGCTTTTTAATTGTTGACTTTGTGTAGTCTAGATTAATCAGACATATGGTTTGCAAATAATTTCTCTTGATGATTTCCTCCTCTTAACTTTTTTTACAGAGCAAAACTTTTTCATTTTGATGACATCTAGTATATTGTTTTCCTTTTAGGACTGTGCTTTTGTAGTGAAGGCCAAGGGCTTGTTGCCTAGCCCAAGATCCTGATGATTTTTCTATGATTTTTTTCCCAAAAGTTTTATAGTTTTACATCTTACATCTAAGTCCATGATATATTTTGAGTTAATTTCTGTCTAAGGTATGCAGTTTAGGTCGAAGTTCATTTTTTTTTTTTTTTGCCTATGGGTATCAATTACTCCAGCATAATTTCTTGAAAATACTATCATTACTCCACTGAAACGCTTTTACACCTCTGTCAAAATCAGTTGAGCATAAGCCACACTGCCTTGATTACTGTAGCTTTGTAGTAAGTCTTGAAGTCAGGTGATGTGAGTCCTCCAACTTCTTCAAAATCGATTTAGCTTAATTAATTTTATACCTGGATATTTTCATTTTTCCTATAGGGAAAGAAAAGAAGAGAGAAGAACTGTGGCTGTAGGAAATTAAGGACAATACAGCATTTACACTCCGTATGCCCTACAGTACTGGTTTTTAAACTTCAGTGTGCCTTAGAATCAGCTGGGGAGTTCACGAATATTTCTAGGTTCCACCCCCAAGGATAAAGTTTGACCTGCAAGTACTTCTCACGCAGCTGGACTACACATTGAAATGTGAAAAAGCAATAATCTAGGGAGAAACAGGAAGAAAAAACAAAAACAAAACCCAACCTGTGTCACTATTGTTGGGATTGTTTTCTTTCTTCCCGCCTCCTCCAATGCCCACTTTAATTTCCAGTATGCAATAGGCTTAACTCTTTTCTAAAGACACACTTACCTTCTGTGGTTATACATGGAAAGACTAATGCAACAGAACTTGTTAAAATATGATTTTTGTTACATCCTAGGTCCTTAATGTTTCTGAAGAAACAGATTTGTATTATAATGAAAGTCCCCAGGTAAACAGGATCTGTCAAATAGGAATTTGCTTCAGAGTCAAATGTGCTGGAACTCAGCTATTCAGTTAGAAAGGGTACTCATGGAGATTCAACCTTTGACAGGTATCTTAGATACCTAATATTTTAGAGATCAAGACGGAAGACATAAGACATATGCCCCTCAGTGAGGGCTTACGAGTACAGGCGGGGTGCTCATGAGCCCCTTCCATGAACACTAGTGCACTCATTTACTCGTCCAACAGAAGCCTCGTAACTAGAAAACTGAAGCACGGAACACTCTTTAGCTTACTCTATGGAGTGTCTAAAATGGAAAATAAAAACTTCAAAGTTAAACAAAGGAAAAGTAACTATTTAAAATATGCTCCCAGGACGTTTTATTACAAGATATCCTTGCCAATATACCCCGGCCTTTAAAAAAAAAACCTTACTATTCTACCTAAAGCAGCTTCATGTGCACTTTGTAGGCCAGTCACAGGTAAGAGGGTTCACTGAGTCCTAATAAAACTTTTCGGAAGACAGCTTGTGTTTGCTGCACTATTGAAATTCTCCCAGTGGAGATAAAGAGAGCTGTGCGACCGCACATGAACTTTCGGGCCATGCTTACTACGCAAATTGAAGAAACCAAGTCCGTTTACCCCATCGTCCTCCGGCTACTCTAGAGAAGAAAGCTCTTGCATCAGCTCCTCCTTTTCTTGCTGCAACTCTTGCAGGTGCTGCTGGTTCTGCTCCAGCCTGTCCTCCAGCCACTGCAGAAGAGGCCCGCTGACCGCTGACATTTGGCTGCACAGATTCTTGGTAAACACTTCAATAGGAAAAACACGGTTGAGAGAACACTCCCCCCCGTGCCCCCCACACCTGTGAGCACACAGAGAAGGCCTAGCAGATGATTTCATATCTCTGGCCAGGGGAAAGACAGAAGAGCTGAGCAAAGAAGACATCTGTTTTGAGGCCATCCCCAATACCCCTAGAACCAAAAGTCAGAGAGAAGCAGAAAGATAACCAGGTCTTTACTCCCTTATGCAAAAGGGCTAAGAACTACAGTTTTTTTTCCCCAGCCCTTAGACCTTCGCACAGTGTAAATGACAAATGACCATAAGCCCTAGAGTGCAAGAACCCTGCTTTCTGCAACTTAGCTTTCCACAAGTCCACTAGAAAAATTGCTCAAATGTTTCATGTATTTTAGAAATAAATACATTAACTTAACATGCCTGAAAGCATCTGCTTCTCCCTCTCCCTCTGCCCCTCCACCCTGCTCATGCTCTCCCTCAAATAAATAAATAAAATCTTTTAAAAAAGTGACTTATTGAAAATGACCACTGTAATACTGTGGGGTATATCTTCCAGAATCTATATATATGATATTTGTGTGTACGTGTGTGCATTTGTATGTATACTTTTGAATAAAAACCGTATGATTTTGGATGTTACTTTTTCACCACATAACAATGACATCTTTCTGCCTCAGTAAAGATCTGGCTTTCCTTCCTAAGGGCTGCACAATATTCGTCAGAATGGATGTACCAATTTAAAGATTTCTTTCTTTTAGAGAGACAGAGAGAAAGAGAAAGAGTGCACGTGAGCAGGGCAGGGGTGGACAGGGAGGGAGAAGGAGACAGAGCCCCAAGCAGACTCCACACTGAGCATGGAGCACGATGAGGGGCTCCATTCACAGCCCTGAGATCGTGACCTGAGCTGAAACCGTCAGACGCTTAACCCACTGCACCACCCAGGCGCCCATGGAGGTACCAGTTTAATGAGTGATGGACACTTCAGCAGCATCCATTTTCTTTGCTACTATAAAGACTGTGGTTCATATCCCTTTAGACTTATTTTTACATACTTGTCCTACGAATTTCTAAAGGATACATTTCTAGAGGTGGAACTGCTAGATTCAAGTATATGTATATCTTAAAACTGATAAGCCAGTATGTTCCAGATTGGACCAAATTATACCTCCAGGAACAGTATATGAGAGCATTCACTTCCTGCACATCCTCACCTAATTTTACCTCTCAATTTAATCTTTCCCAGAAAGTGAAAAACTGCCATCTAAATCCATACTTCTTCTAAAAACATTTATGAAGAGTTTGATTTTCCTATAAAAGTCTTTCATTCTTTATTTTTTTAAAAGATTTTATTTATTTGAGGGAGAGAGAGACACAGAGAGAGAGGGAACACTAGCAGGGGGAGTGGGAGAGGGACAAGCAGGCTTCCCACTGAGCAGAGAGCTCAATGTGGGGCTCGATCCCAGGATCCCGGGATCATGACTTGAGCCGAAGACAGACACTTCACAACTGAGTCACCCAGGTGCCCTGTAAGTCTTTTCATTCTTAGTCAGCTTTTTCTGAGTTCAGATTATACTTAGATCAGGCCTTCCCAGAGTTTGAAAAATATCCTCTTACATTTTCCTCCTTATTTTTTTAACTTTTAAAATGAGCTATAAGGGGTGGGGCGTTTCTGTGGCTCAGTCAGTTAAGTCTCTGTCTTCAGCTGAGGTCATGATCTCAGGATCCTGGGATTAAGCCCCACTTTGGGCTTCCTGTTCAGTGGGGAGTTTGGCTCTCCCTCTGCCTCTACCCCTACACCCCGTTCATGTGCTCTGTCTTTCTCTTTCTCAAATAAATAAATAAAATCTTTAAAAAAAATAAAATGAGCTACAAAGGTATAATTTATAGACAATAAAATGACCCTGTTTAAAGTGTACAGGTCATTGAGTTTGTGGTAATGATCCCTAGTGAAGAAACAGATCTTTTACATTAGCGCAGAAGCCCTTTGCAATTCCCTTTGCAGTCACCTCTGGCCCTAGCAGCTGCTGACCTTCCTGCTGTCACCACAGAGTACTTTCGCCTATTCTTGAATGTCATATAAATGGAACAATAAACAATAAAGTATGTAGCATTTATTGCTTTGAAATACTATCTTTCTTAAATATAAATTCTTATACACAAATGGGCCCATTTGTGGGTTCTATTCAGTTCTACTGATTTATTTGTTCATTTTTTAGTGATTACCATCCTGTTCAAGTTACTGTGGCTTTAGACCATGACTACATGTAATACACTAACCCTAACCAGATTCTACTTCTTTGTCATATTTTACCTCCAGATAGAAATGATGGGAGAGACATACCAAGCCATCTTTTAATTTTGTCTCAAGGTAATGGCCTATAACTCGAAAGCCTCTATTTCTTCCTCACTGGTGACTTTGCCAGACACTGGGAAAGCCTACACAAAATGGCCTGGGAATCAGGGTTATTCAAAGAGAAGGTATGGTATAGTAGGTGCGTATGCTGGAGAAAAGTGATTTCATATGTATACTCTATTGAGTTTCCTGCTCCTTGGCCTTATATAGGAATTCTTTCTGTGTTTACTGACATGAAAAGCTTCTTCTTTCATACCTTCCCTCTCATCTGTCTGTCTATCCATCTCTTTCAATTCCCACCATAATAGGCTGGTAGTGGTGTGCTGGAACCAACTTAGATCGGCTCACAAAAGCCGATATACTACTGAAATTTCAGAAGTCTGTGAGTGAAGTCTGTGAGCTGGTTGACGCCATACTAGTTGTTTGAAATCAGCCATGGTAGGAGTATTATACATTGGAAACCGGCAAACACAAAAAATCAGGGCCCTTCCTCCTCCCTGAGAACTGGTTATTAAACATGTACCAGCATAGCCCCTGAGAAAGTCGATCATAAAGTTCATTCCACTCTTTCTTCCAGCCTTACTCTAGGTAGCATACACACTAAAGGGTTTGCAGGGTTCAAGAGAAAAGCTGGGAGTGGGATTAATGAATAGCAAAGCTCTCGGAAAGGGAAATTCAAGAACTTGAACCTATTACTTCAAGCACTTAAACTAGTTTTGTTTCTGTCAGCTGAGTATTTCAGAAATCACTGCCCACAATCTAGAAAAAGAAATTTTACCTGAGCCATTATGGATCTTGGTTACTGAGTCCAGATGTGTCAGGCTAAAGGGATAAAACAGTTTAGGTTAGCAGCAGAGCCGCAGCGAAGGGAAAACAAAATGACCTTTGCGAATTGGATTAGAGGAATATGCATAATTTAAATTCCATTAGAGTGAAATGTTTCATGATTTGGAGGATATAATTTTATTCAGAACTTCAAGATAATTCAAAGAGATCACTTGAAATCACTGTCTCTCTTCATACAGTCCACACTTCTTGGGCAAGACCCAGTGCTTAGCAGTAGGGCTACTGAGGTGTAATTGTCTGGTTTTTTTCTAACAACCAAAAGTATCATTGCCCTTGAAGGATCCAAAGTGCAGTGGGAGAGAAATGAATGTTACACAGAATACGAACACACTTTCTCACAGAGAGGTGAGAGGAAAGGGGCCTCCGGAAGAGGAAAAGAGGGACCAGGCCCTGAGGAGTCAGGATGAGAGAGGAGGGAGGGAGGACTCTACCTGTGGATCCTCCTGTATGCATCCTGTTCCTCTTGGCACAGGATCTTGGGCAGCTCGACTGCTGACTCCAGGCATACTTTCCCAATGGTTACGTGAGGTACAATATGGATGGGGATTTCAATCCTCTCATACCTGCGAGACAATCAACTCAGGTCAGTTTCATGTTTGTTTGTTTCTAGCTTTATTTTGGTTTGATGAAAAGGAATGATATATATTTAAGGCATACAAACTGATGTTTTGAAATTGATATTTTGAGTAAAAGGAGCACCACGCTCAAGCCAATTAACGTATCTGTTACATCACATAGTTGCCTTTCTTTGTGTGTGTGTGGTATGAATACTTGAGATCTACCTTGTTGGAACATTTCAAGTATATAACACTGTTCTGTTAACTGTAGTCACCATGCTGAGCAGTAGATCTCCAGAATTCATTCATCCTGAAACTTTGTACCCTTTGACCAACACTTCCTCATTTTCCCTTCCACCACTCCTGCCGTGGCAACCACCATTCTACTCTCTGCTTCAACGAGTTTGCTATTTTTATTTATTTCAATTCATCCATTGACAGACCTTTAGGTTGTTTTTGTATCTTTTTTTTTTTTTTTTTTTTTTAAAGATTTTATTTATTTATTTGACAGAGAGAGATCACAAGTAGGCAGAGAGGCAGGCAGAGAGAGAGGAAGGGAAGCAGGCTCCCTGCTGAGCAGAGAGCCCGATGCGGGGCTCGATCCCAGGACCCTGAGACCATGACCTGAGCTGAAGGCAGAGACCCAACCCACTGAGCCACCCAGGCGCCCCTGTTTTTGTATCTTGACTATCGTGAATAACTCTGCAAAAACATTAGAGTACAGATATCATTTTTGAGATCCATATTTCATTTTCTTTGGATATATACCAAGAATGGGTTAGTTTTTAATGCTGAGTTGTCATAATCAGAAGTTTTCTATAAACTTAATAGAAATTTTGGGATACAGTATACTCGAAGATTAGACATCCCTGTCATTCATTTAGTAGCTCAACTTGAAACTTGACTGAATTCAAAATGAACTCACCTGGGGAGCAAATTAGAAGCCCATTTGAAGAGTCAATATTCCCCACTTTCCTAGAAAATGTAAGCCCACTTTCAAAAACGTATTGGAGGTCTTGGGAATTCAGGGTCCTTATGCTCACTCCCCCAGATAAGGGGAATAGCTAATTAATGCTGTCTTTGGTTGAGAAGTTTCCATGGGGGGTGAACACATTCATCACAAAGCCTGGAGAAGAGTAGCTGCAGACTTTTCCGTGAGTCCATCAGATTCATGATGTATACGAATTACTCATATAAATGCTCACTCGTTCTAACTCAGGGTTCACCAGTGGCCCACAGTTCCCATTCTCTCCCCTGAAGGGAAATAGGTGAGAAATTCACAGATCCTGGGGCAGCTGGGTGGCTCAGTCAGTTAAGTGTCTGACTTTTGGTTTTGGCTCAGATCCTCACTGAGCCCCATATCGGGCTCTGAGCCCAGCACACAGTCGGCTTCAGATTCTCTTGCCCTCTTCCTCTCCCTTCTGCTCTCTCCCTCTCATGTAGAATACGGCCTTTTTAGATTGGCTTAGTGTATTTTTTAAACTACTCAGGTGATTCCAGTGTTCAGCCAAGTTTGGGAATGAGTGATCTAACTCATTTTTCTTTCTCCACACATTCCAATCTATTCAATTCAAATGCTCCTTAATTTTGGTGACAAAATATTCCTTAGAGTTGCAGAAGCCTATTAACTTTTCCGTAGGAAAAAAAAATAAGCTCAAATACATGAGCTTTCTCTCTAATAAAAGAAAGCTGATAAAGTGCTTTCTGGCTCAATATGAAACCTCAAGGGGACAGCAAGTAAAATGAACAGTGTTTGACATTCATATAGAATTACTAGGCATAGGAAGAAGCTGGAAAAATGGGACCAATACATAAGAAAAAAATAAGTTGACCGAAGTAGAGCTAGAAATATCAAAGATGAAAGAATTAGCAGACAAGCTTCTTAAAATAACCATTTATCATTATAAATATTCTGTGTGTTCAGAAAGCTAGAGGAAAGACTGAACATGCATAGGATTAACAGGAAATTAAACATTACAGAAGGAAAGATTAGTGAACTTGAAGGAAGATACAGCAATAGAAACTATATAAAATAAATCACAGATAGAAAAAAAGACCAAAAAAACAATGAGCAGAGCATCGGTGAGCCATGAGACAATGTCAAGTGGCCAAATATGTGTACAATTAAAATATCCAAAGAAAATGAGAGAGTGGAACAGAAAAAAATACTTGTAGAAATAATAGCTGAGATTTTTGTAAATTTGATGACAAATGTAAATCCAAATGTCTAAGCTCAGGGAAACCCGAGGACAGAATGAAACTGAAAACAGTTACACCAATGGCACACTATAATCAAAGAGCTTAAAACTAGTGAAAAAGAGAAAATCTTGAGAAGTCAGAAAAAAAGTCATATTAAGTAAACAGAAGCAAAGGTAAAGATGATAGCCAGTTTTTCATTGGATGGTAGAGAAATATCTTCATAATTCTAAAAGACAAAAATGGCCACCCTAGAGTTCTTTACCTATTGAAAATATTTTTTAAATATGGAATTTAAGACTTCTTTCAGACATATGAAAGTCAAATGACTATTTCACCAGAAGACTTACACTACCAGAAGCATTAAAGGACATTCTTCAAGAAAGAAAATGGTAACAGATGGAAACAAAGAAATGAAGAGCACTAGAAATGGTAACCCACTGGGGCGCCTGGGTGACTCAGTGGGTTAGGCCTCTGCCTTTGGCTCAGGTCGTGATCTTGGGGTCCTGGGATCGAGCCCCGCATCGGGCTCTCTGCTCAGCGGGGAGCCTGCTTCCCTTCCTCCCTCTCTGCCTGCCTCTCTGCCTACTTGTGATCTCTGTCTGTCAAATAAATAAATAAAATCTTAAAAAAAAAAAAAGAAATGGTAACCCACTGATGGGAGATGTTTGCAAACGACATACCTGATAAAAGGTTAGTATCCAAAATATAGAAAGAACTTAAAAAATTCAACACCTAAAACGTGAATCATCCAATTAAAAAATGGGCAGGAGACATGAACAGACAGTTCTCCGAAGGAGACATGCAGATGGCCAACAGACACATGAAAAGATGCTCAACATCACTGATCCTCAGGGAGATGCAAATCCAAGCTACAAAATCAGCTCACATCTGCCAGAACTGCTAAAATAAAAAATACAAGAAACAACAGCTGCTGGTAAGGACAATGGAGGAAAAGGAACCCTCCTGCACCGTTGTGGGGGAATGCACACTGGTGCAGCCACTGTGGAAAACAGTATGGAGGCTCCTCAGAAACTTAAACACAGAAGTTATCCTACAATCCCCCATTTGCACTACTAAGTATTTACCTAACGAATACAAACATACTAATTCAAAGGGAATCATGTACCCCGATGTTTACAGCAGCATTATCAACAATAACCAGAGTATGGAAAAAGCCCGAGTATCCACTGGTAGGTGAATGATGAAGACGTGGTCTATGTACACGATGGAACACTACTTGGCCATCAAAAGAATGAAATCCTGCTGTCTGCCATGACATGGATGGAGCGAGAGGGTGTAATGCTAAGTGAGATAAGTCAGTCAGAGAAAGACCAATGCCATGTGATTTCGCTTGTGTGGAACTTAAGAAACAAAACAAATGAGATTATTTGGGTGAGATGGGGATGAGGATGAAGGAGGTCACTTGTGATGAGCACTGGGTGTTGTATGGAAGTGTTGAATCACTCTACTGTACACGAGAATCTAATGTTAACTAATTGGAGTGAAAATGAAAACTTAAACTTAAAAAACTAAAATACAGAGAAAGTATCTCAGTGCAAATACACCCCCCCAAAAAAGAAGAAATAAAGAAAAAAAGAAAGAGTGGGCTTCCCCACCTTTCATCCTGGTCTTGCTGTGATTGCAACACCTACCTTCTTACTGTTCCCATGTTCCTGATATATTTTTGCCCATCCCTTTATTTTAGGCTTTTTGAAATTTTGTGTTTTCTTTGAGTCTTGCATAAAGCCTAGAGTTGGGTTTGTCTTTGATATCTAATTTTAAAATAACTTCCTTTAATAGATAAATTCATCTAATTAAAACATAAATAAGTCCTGTCAATGTTATGTACAACATGATGACTATAGTTAACAATACTATATTAGATATTTGACAGTTACTAAGAGAGTAAATCTTAAAAGTTCTCATCACACACATACACACAAAAGCAATTTGTAACTATGCAAAATGATGGATGTTGACTAAATTTGTGCCAAGTATTCTGCAATATATACATGTATCAAATCATTATGCTCAAAACCTAAAACTTATGCAATGTTGTATGTAATTATATCTCAGTAAAACTGAGGAATAAATACATACATACATAAACCTATGGGTCACTGAGGAAGTCAAAAGGAAAATTACAAATTATTTTGAACTGAATAAAAATGAAAAACACAGCAAGATTTGTGAGATACAACTAAAGGATTACTTGGAAAGTTACATAAATTTCTATAAAAACAGAAAATAGACATCAAATGAATGAACTCAGCATCCATACACCATAAAACAAGTAGAAGAAAAAAAACAGAAAAAAGAACAAGTGAAGCTCAAAGTAAGCAAAGAGAAGGAAGTAACATATATCAGAGTTGACAAACAGAACAGTGCACAGATCAACAGAGAAAACCAATGAAACCAAAGTGATTTTTTTGAGATAGCCAATAAAATGGTTCCATTTCTAACCAGACTTATCACAAAAGAAAAACAAATTACAAATATAGTAACAAGAGAGATGACATTACAATGATTTTATAGATAATAAACAATAAAAGATATTCTAACAACTTTATGCCAATAAATTCAACTATTCAGATGAAATGAATAAGTCCACTGAAAGATACAAATTACCAAAGCTCACTCAAGAAGAAATATATAATCTGAATAGCCCTGAACGTATTAAATAAATCAAACTGGTAGTTAAAAACTTCCCACAGTGAAGATTCCAGGCCCAGGAGGCTTTACTGGTGAATTCTACCAAATACTTAAGGAAGAAAGTCTATTAGTTCTACAAAAACTCTCCCATTAAATTGAAAAGGGGACAATACCATCAAACTTGTTTTCTGAAGCCAGTATTTCTGATACCAAAGGTAGAGAAAGACTTTACAAGAAAACTACATACTAATAACCCTCAAGTAGATAGATGTAAAAATTCTGAACAAAATTTTAGCAAATCAAATCTAGCAGTACCTAAAATGGATAATTCATCCTGACTGATGGGGTTTATTCCAGGAGTGCAAAGTTGGTTTAGGAATAAAAATTCAATGTAATTCATCAATATTAACAGACTAAAACAGAAAAGCACTATAGGAGCATCTCAGTAGATACAAATAAGCATTTCATAAAATGCAACATTTATTACTGATGAAAAAAGAATGCTCAGCAAACTAGGGATAGAAGGAAATTTCCTCAAATCAATAAGAAAAAACCTTCAGGTAACATTATACTTTAATAGTAAAAGACTGAATGATTTCCCCTAAGATCAGAAAGAAAGGTACCATGGCTGCTCCCAACAGTTGAATTCAGCAGTTTACTGGAGAGAGTGCAGTAAGGTAAGAAAAATAAACAGAAGGCATCCAGACTGGAAAGAAAGAAGTAAAACTGCTTTTATTCACAGATGACAACCTATGTGGGTAATCCAACGGACTCTTCAAAAAAGGTACTAATATTGAGAAGTGAATTTAGAAAGGTAGGATGTAAACTCAATATATAATAATTATCTGTATATTTATGCAGTGGCAATGAACAACAGGAAATTGAGATTAAAATGAAAGCATTTACAATAGGATAAAAATATGAAATGTGTAGGGATGAATCTGAAAAAAGATATGCAAGACTTGTATGCAGAAATGTACAAACCATTAATGAGAAATTAAAGACCTAAATAAATGGAGAGATGCAAACGTTCATGGATTGGAACACTCAATATTATTAAGATGTCAATTCTCCCCAAAATGATCCACATTCAATGTAATCCCAATCAAAAATCTCAGCAGGCTGTTTTGGAAAAGTCTGGAATTTCTTAAAAAGCTAAATATACACGTACCATATAATTCAACCAGTCTGCTCCTACGTATCGCCCCAAGGGAAGAGAAAGCACATATCCATACAAAGACTTTGTTTGTAATAAACCAAAACTGCAAGTAACTCAAATGTCTATCAACAGGCAAATGAATACACAAATTGGGGTAATACTTAAATGATTTAATACTTTTCTGTAATAAAAGGTGTAAACTATTGATACCTGTTATACATGAATCTCAAAATAATTCTGGTGCATGAAATGAGACAGACAAAAAGCTTACAGTCTATGACTCTACATATGTGTCTATTTTTTCTCTAAAAAAATGCAGACTACTCTCTAGCGACTGTAGATCTGGGCTTTCGGTTGCAGGAGGGACAGGGAGTACTAAGGGAGGAATTACAGAGGGGCACTAGGAAAATTTGGGGGGTGAGGGATATTTTCATTATCTAGGAATGTACATGTCAAAACTTTCCAAACTGTCTACTTTAAACATGTGTAGTTTATTGTATGCAACTGTACCTCAATAAAGATGTTAAAAACTAAATGGAACTGGGGCTCCTTGGAAAAATCCAGGAAAGAACAAGATGAAAGTGGAACATCTTCTTGTGCCACAAAATCAAGCAGTACTCAAAGAATAAGGAAAACGTGTCAAAAGAACATGGGAGGGGCTTCCACTGGTTGCTTCTGAAACAATGTGTGCCTCAAAATACCTAATGATAGATTAAAATAAAGTACATTTGTCAGTTGGCAATCTACTCCCAGGAAGGGCTTTCCCTGTCCATTTGTCTATTTATTAATTTACTTATTAACATATATGTGTATATCTGGATTCTTATTTTATTCAATGGGTTCTAGTCCATTATTATCATGAGGTATTTTGAGGCACACTGTTCTTTTGTTACTTCTTTGTCCCCCTGACTAAACTGGGGGCTCTTGAATACCAGAGAATGATGGCCATTCTGCCGTGTTGTTCCAGCCCCTGGCAGAGTCTGGCTCAGGGCAAGGGCGGTTGACGAACGTACATCAGCTCAACCAGGACCGCACACAAGTTCCCCGAGCGCAGAAGGGAACTTCGTGTCCTTCTCTTTCTTTTCATCTGTAGCACTGACGAGTTGGATGGGTGGCTTTTCTGGGGATCCTCTCAACTCCAGAATATATAATCCCACATCGGGCTCCCTGCTCCGCGGGGAAGCCTGCTTCTCCCTCTCCCACTCCCCCTGCTTGTGTTCCCTCTCTCGCTGTGTCTCTCTCTTTCTGTCAAATAAATACATAAAATCTTTTTAAAAAGAAACACTATTTATAGGTATAAGGAAAAATGATAATGGAAATATGATAAAATGTTGACAGCTGAGGAATCTGGGTAAAGGGCACACAGGAATCCTTTGTACTATCCTTGCAACTTTTCTGTAAATGTGAAATTATTTTAAAACAATGTTAAAAAACACCAAGACTAATAACCAAAAGAATCAAAACAGTACACACAACTTCTAAAACAGAAAAAAAAAAAAAAAAAACAGAAAATTCAATGTAACAAGTGGCAGGAAAAGTAAGAAGAAATAAACAGAAAGCAAACAGGAGGCAAACAGACAATTGCAGCAATGATACTAAAATGAACGCATTACACTCACCTATTAAGACAGATGTTCTGATTGTTTAAAACCAAATAACTCAAGATCTTGCTATATTCTATTTAAAAGAGACCCTGAAACAAAATAACTGAGGAAGGTTGACGGTGAAGGAAAGGGCAACATGCAACAGGCCGTGGCGGACACGCGTGTCCCTAACCGCCTAACCAACCCTAAGCCACCGTCCTCCTTGGGAACAGAATGGCCAGAGCTACCTGACAGGCCTCCCTGCTTAGATGTGGCTACTTCACTATGTTCTGCCAGTGAGATGGAAATGGAACTGTTTTCTGGGATTTCTGATGTCATTTATTAGAAATTGGCTGAGCAGCCGAGCTAGGACAAGCCCCTTTTTGCCCTCCTACCTTTCCTCTTCCTTCTGGCCCTCAATGGAGATGTGCTGGCTGGAACTCCAGAAGTCTCGTGGACCATGAGGGGACCTTAGGATGAAAACCATATACCAAGATGGTGAAGCAGAAGATAGGAGCCTGGGTGCCTGATGACATCAAAGAGCCCTGGAATACCCATCTCCAGACTTCAACCCAAGAAAGAAATAAGGTTTCTTGTTTAAACTGTTATTTATCATCTAATTTTTTCCCTAATATACGGAGTTCAACCTAAACCTGACAGAAACAATCATAGACTCTAGAAATATTTTAAGGCATACATAAATAAACGTGTAAATGGGCAAAGAAAGCTATTTCATATTTTATGATGGAAAACACAACAGGACAATATAATATAATAGCTATGAACCTTTATAAACTCTTTATGCAATACCAATGCAGCTTCAAAATAGATTAACCCTAAAATACAGAAGCAGATGGGAGGTTTCCATACGTCTCTCTCAGATATGTATAACCAAAAGCACACACTGTGAGGAAGGATACAAGGACCACTGTAACACAACTTAACAAGCTTATGCTAATAAGGAGATAAGAGACTTGTACCCAAGAGACAATATACACATTTTTTGGTGCATATAAAAAAGTACGAAAATTGACCATGTTTTAAGTCAGAGGTCAGTGAACTTTTTGTGAAAAGTCCAGACAGTAAACGTTTTACTGTGTAAAACATTTTTGTTTTACTTTGTTTTTTTTTAAAAACAGCATTTTGTTTTACTGTGTAAAACATTATTGTGTAGAACAGCTGTGTGGGCCACAGGGTCTCTGTCAGAACCACTCAGCTGAGCAGCTGTAACTGGTTAACAAAGGTCAGATGCTCCGAAACAGGCACCAGGCCCTTGAGCCTACAGGATGTAGTCTGTGGACCCCTTTTCTAGGTAACAAAGGAAATATCCAAAAATTTCTGTAAAGCCGGTATCTCCTAGGCCACACGGTTACCATAATGTATTAAAAATTATGGGGCACGTGGGTGGCTCTCTGATTTCCATTCAGGTCATGGTCTCAGTGCAGTGCACTCTGTGCTGGGTGTGGGGCCTGCCTAAGACTCTCTCGCTCCCTCTCCCACTCCCTCTGCTCCTCCCCACCCCGCACTCTCACTCTCTCTTAAAAAAATTAAAGAATTTTTAAAAATTAATGTAACAAAGAAAGAAAGAAATAAATATAATCCACCCCCTCCCAGATCTATAAACCTGGAAATTTTTAAATGCACTTCTAAATAACTGTTCAATTGAAGAGAAAATAAAAACTGAAAACATAAATCAGAAGTAAAAAAAAAAAAAGCCACTGGAACCTATGGAATGAAGCAAAAGCGAGGAGGAAAATTTATAGCATTAAAAGTATTTATCAGAGAACAAGGGAGACAGAAAGTAAACTTAATTTTCATCTCAAGAATTCATCTTTCTAAAGATTTTATTCATTTACCAGAGAGCGAGAGAGCGCGCGCACGCGCACAAGCAGGCGGAGCACCAGGCAGAGGGAGGAGAAGCAGGCTCTGTGCTGAGCGGGGAGCCTGACACAGGGGCTCGATCCCAGGACCCCGGGATCATGACCTGAGCTGAAGGCAGAGGCTTAACAGAATGAGTCACCCAGGAGACCCTTATCTCAAGAATCTAGAATGAAGACAACAATGAGAACAACGCAGCAACAATAAAATGTATGGAAAACAGAAGGAAGAAATTAATAAAGAAAAAAGCAGAATGTTTTTAAAAGATAAGAAACTGAATTGATCTAGAGAACTTAAAGCTGGTCCTTTAAAAAAAACCAACAAAATAGATAAGCCTCTGGCAACAGAATCAAGAAAAAAGAGAAAGCACAAGTAAACAGCATTAGCAATGGAAAAGGGCACATACTTAAAAGAAACAGATCACACAGTCATCCACTCAAGAAATATTTACCTAATGGCTACCATGTGGTGGGCCCTGCTCTAGGTGCTAATCAACAAGACATAGGACGTCCCTACAGTCATGGAGACAACAATCTAATGGCGGGAAGGAGACTGTAAATAAGAAATGAACAACTAACTTATATTAGTGCTACAAAGAAAATGAAACACATTTTTTGAAAAAATTTTTAAATGTTAAATACATATATCAAGTGCAAAGAAAGGAAAACAGATGAAATGGATAATTTTCTAGGAAACTATAAATTACCATAGCTGACAAATACTGCATGATTCCACTCACAGAAGCAGGGAATACAGTAGTGGTTGCCAGGGGATGGGGGTAGGTATAAAAGGGGTTGTTACTCAATGGGCATAAAGCTTCAGTTACGCTACATGAATAAATTCTAAAGATCTGCTGTACAACACGGTGCCTAGAATGAACCGTAAGGTATAGTGCATTTCAAAATTTGTTAAGAGGGCAGATCTCATGTTCTCTTCTTAACACCCCTCCCCAAAATAAAATGAACCAAACAAGAAAAAACCCACAAAGGAAACAAGGAAACTTTGGAGGTACTGGCAATGTCTATTACCTTGATTGTGGGGATGGTATCACGTCTATTTACATACGTCCAAACTCATCAAATTGTATACATTAAATGTGTGTAGTTCTTTGCATATCAATTATGCCTTAATGAAGCTGTTTAAAAAATGAGCAAGCAAGAAAAAATAGCACTGTGCAGCTAAAATAAGGTCTTGAAGATTAAGAAGGTTAAAAAAAAAACAGAACACTCAATGGGTGCCATAATTTTCATTGTTCATGGGTTTCTCCTCTATTTTATGTGTGATGACATTCTAGCTCTGTATCTGATTTATGCGGAGGTTCTAGATCATTTGCTTCTAGTAATGATTTTGATGATCTTGTCAGTGCCTTCACTTAAACAGATTTGGGACCTGACATTGCTTTAAAAGATTTATTTATTTACTTATTTCAAAGAGAGAGAGACAAAGAGAGAAGGAAAGTGAGCATGAATGGGAGGAGGGGCAGAGGCAGAGGGAGCGAGAATGTCCAGCAGACTCCGTGCTGAGTGCGGAGCCCGATTTAGGGCTCAATCCCACAGCCATGAGATTACAACCTGAGCCAAAGCCAAGAGTCAGACGGTTAACCGATTATGCCACCCAGGTACCTCTGGGCCCTGACATTCTCTTTTTTTAAAAAAATTTTATTTATTTATTTTTGTCAGAGAGAGAGTGCTGGCATGAGCAGGGGGAGGGGCAAAGGGAGAGGGAGAAGCAGACTCCCCAGTATGCAAGAAGCCCAATGCCGGGCTGGATCCCAGGACGCTGGGATCATGAGCTGAGCTAAAGGCAGACACAACCCACTGAGCCACCCAGCCATTCCTGGGCCCTGACATTCTTAAAAGGAGACACAGAGTAAGCATTTGTCCAGCCGCATGGTCTTGGATGAGCAACTTTATTTCTGAAAGTCACTCCTCGACCTAGTAACTGTCTCTCATGACAGAATCCAATTCTTCTGTTTTCTTCCATTACAGTAGCATTCTTTTATAGGGTTAGCACCATTTATTGAGAACGTAATGACAAACACATTTGGAAACACTGGTACCACTAACATTTCCAGTTAAAAAGCTTTCCCTCCAACGATGCACTCCTAAAGAGATTTTTTCAGATCGCTATCTTCACCATCCTACAAAAATAAATTTGTTCTTAGTACTTAAAAAGTTTCTATTAAATTACTCCAAAGTTCAGAGAAAATCAGTGCTTTGTACTTCAATTAATAGCTTTATTGAAGTATAACTGTTGGTGGGTTCAGAACACTTAGGAGTCACCCTTCTACCAAATTTCAAGTATAAAATACAGTATTGTTAATTACAGTCACATTGCTGTATATTAGCTCTCCAGAATTTATTCATATCTTGCATAACTGAAACTTTGTATCCTTTGACCAATATCTACCGATTTCATTCACCTCTCAGTCCCTGGCAACCACCATTCTATGCTCTGTTTCTGTGAGCTTGTTTTAGGTTCCACATACAAGTGAAGTAATGCAGTATCTGTCTTTGTGTATCAAGCTTATTTCACTTAGCACAAGGTTAAGGTTAGGTTCATCCATGGTGTTGCAAATGGCAAGATTTCTTTCTATATTAAGGCTCAATAATACTCATTGTGCATGTATGACATACATGAATGCATATCATTCTTGATAACTAGTGATGCTGTGTACCTTTCAAATATCTGTTGGCCCTTTGTAGGCCTTCTTTTTAGAAATGTTTAGTTAGGTCCTTCACGTTTTAATTTTTTTCACTTTTCTTTAAATTGGGTTATTTGGGGTTTTGTTATCGAGTTCCTTATATGTTTTAGATATTAACCCCTTATCAGATATATGGTTTGCAAATATTTTCTCCCATTTCACAGGCTCTACCTTTCCACTCTGTTGAATATTTCCTTTGTTCTGCAGAAACTTTCAGTTTGATGAAATCCCACTTGCCTATTTTTGCCTTTGTTGACACATCCAAAAAAATCATTGCCAAGTTCCTCAAAAAGCTTTTTTCCTACATTTTACTCTAGTAGTTTTATGTTTTTAGGTCTTACGTTTCAGTCTTTAATCCCTTTTGAGTTGATTTTTGTATATGGTGTGAGGGTCCAAATTCGTTTTTGTACATGTGGATATACAGGTTTTCCAAAATCATGTATTCATGTTATAGTGGATTCGCAGCTGAGAATCTTGCTGAAGAACATGTGGATTGATTTCCGGGCTTCATTGGTCTAGATGTCAATTTTTTATGCCAGTATCATACTTTTTGATTACAGTCGTTTTATAATAGTATTTAGAAACCAGTCAGTGTGATGCTTCCATCTTCATTCTTGCTCAAGATTGCTTTAGCTATTTGGGGTCTTTTGTGAATCCATATGAATTTTAGGATTATTTTTTCTATTTATGTAAAAAATGCCATGCAGGGGGCAACTGGGTGGTTCAGCCAGTTAAGCGTCCAGCTCTTGATTTTGGCTCAGGTTATGATCTCATGGTCCTGGGATCTAGACCCACACTGGACTCCGTGCTCATTGAAGAATCTGCTTGTCTCCCTCTACCTCTGCCCCTCTCCTATCTCTCTCAAATAAATAAATATGTTTTTTTTAA